ACACGATGACACAAACACTCTGATAAAAAATTCAACTAGCAAACAAACCTAGGAATATTTTTATGGAATGCTTTTTATTACTGCTAGGCATAGGACAGTTGGTCAAACAGACGCTTACAACATACACCTGCTTTAAATATCGATGTTGTTGTGTTTGTGTGTGTGTGTGTGTGTATGTGTGTGTGTGTTTGTAGGCCTTTATCTAAATGCGTGTTTTTCTGTAAATGTGTGTTTTTTTCTGTAAATGTGTGTTTTTTTCTGTGTGTATGCTTGTGTGGGCGTGAATGTGGGGGCCTGTATATATGTGTATGTTTGTTTGTGTGTGTGTGTTTATCTATATGTGTGTTTGTATGTGTGTTTGTATGTGTGTATGTGTGTGTGTTTGTCTTTGTGCGTGAATGTTTGGGCAAATAAATATTTTCTCCCTCGCCAGGTACGCAATGGACATCTGTGTTTCATTGAGAATGGAAAAATTATTATGAGAGGTACAGTTGAATTGATAATATCAAATTATAAATTTTATAAAAAAAAATTATAAATAACAAATAAACAAACAATCTTGTTTCATTTATACAGTGCTCAGTGCGTACGTTGGTATCTAACAAACACACACACTCACTGAAACTCAAGATAGTTGATGGATAATTTCGCATTCGAAACCTTACCATTTGACTATCTTTTACAAATCTATCAGTATCAGCGAAGAAATCATTTCTGATAAACTAATTTCATTTCCCTTTTGTTTTTTCATTTCAAAATATTTTAATTATTTTAAATTAATCATTAGTTAATTAATTAAAACAATTTAATTACATTGACTTATTAGGGATAGAAATTGATAACAACATGAACGTAAGAAGAATGAAACGTTACTACTCTGCCGACAGAAATATAAATCTTCCTTTGACAAAAAATTTGAGACAGCATAATGAAGAACAGTATCATCGGTTGCCCCAGCAACAACAGCCACAACAGCAGCAGCGTCACCAGCCTCTATTTCATTATCAACATCATCATGAACAACAACAACAATTTCAACAACAACAATTCGAAAATGACAACAACAACCAACAACGACGCTATAATCCACGCAAAAATAAACAAAAACGTCAAAAACATGAGCAACAAAAACCTTTTTTCCGCTACAACTTTTATCAAAATATTGACCAACAGCAACAACAGCAACGACAACGACAACAACAACAACAACAAAATCTTCAGAAAAAACTTCTCTACAGACACAAAGCCGAACAATTGACAATCATCGCCGGAAAAAGCGTGACTCTAACCTGTCCCACGTCAACGGTGACGTCACGCGACGACTGGACAATCACGTGGTATGACGAGAACAGGGTCAAGATGACGTCATCGTTCGAGGTTAAGGTCAACTATAAATGGCTGGTTTTTGAGAAGGTTGTGGTGGCAGACGCCGGCGTGTACACGTGTGTCGTTAGAATTAATCGAGATGGAGATGGTGATGGAAAGAAAAATAAAAAAATATCATCCAATGATGATGATAATGATGACGATGATAGTGATGATGATGATAATGATGATGATAATGATAATAATCATGATAGTGATAATAAAAGTGATGATGATGATGATAGTGATCAAGTCAGCGATGGGGAAGAAGAAAAAAGCTTCTATCTTGATGTCATTGGTTTGTTTTTTCAACACTCAAGCCTAATCAAATAAAATTATTTTATAAAATAATTAAAATACACAGTTACGTAATTAATTAATTAATTAAAAATTATTGAAACCCCACAAAGCGCCACCCATGTTTCTGGAAGACCACCACACCAATCGACAGCAACTCTACCACATCGACCACATGAAGCCACAAAAAGTTGAAGTCGTGGCAAGAACAATGGCGATCCTACCATGCAGAGTCTTTGGTCTTCCGGAACCGGAAGTCACGTGGTTCAAGGATGGCATACAACTGTTATTAAACACGCCACCGTATTGGTTCCAAGATGGCGAATGCGTGTTGAAAATATTTAACGTTTCTCCGGAAAATGGCGGAGTTTACGATGTAAGGGCGCGAAATTCAGCCGGAAATGCCAACAAAATGTTTCTCCTGGATGTGTTAAGTCAGTAAAAGATGTCAACCGTGATTTTCAATCAAAAATAATGATGAATACATAAATAAATACATAAGCAAATATTATTTATTAATGAAAAGAATGAAGTTTAGTTTAAAAAAATTCCTTTACAGCCCAGCCGTTAATCGAAGGAGCAAGTTATCAAATGTTAGAAAGAGTCCAAGGTAGCCAATTAGAATTGCCCTGTAGGGCTTCAGGCAATCCACGCCCCCAGGTCACGTGGTCTAAAGGAAACAGTCTGATTGGTCTAAACGACTCCGGTTTATATTTGAATGGTTGAAATTTAAGATGAAAAATTTAATTTTTTAGCATTGACTTTGAAAACTAAACTCAAAAACATCTACGTACATTTTACTTCGATCATCGTCATCGTTATTGATATCAAGGCAATTCTTCAGAACAACTTAATTACTGCAACAACGCTCGCCATCGTCACTGTCACCACTTCACAGACATCAGAACTGGCCCAGAGACCACAGACATCCTTACCATTGAGAACCTATCACTCTCACACGCCGGTAAATATACCTGCAGGGCACGTAATAAAGTCGGGTCAACCTTGATACGTTATAAAGTTCAAGTTCAAGGTCGCTTGAAGTTTTTTAAAATGTCTCGAAAATTTTAATTACAATCGTTTCTAATAGAAGAATCCAGAATAATTAATTAGCATCGATACATGTTTTTGAACGTTGTACAATAAAATCAAAGAATAGAGTTAATTAATCGAATAGTAATTAGTTACAAATTGATTATACGATGCTTATTAATGAAAAAAAAAACTTAATAAACATCTAAAAATTTCAAATCTCACACAGTTCCGCCAAAAATCGAACCGACCAATCAGAAGCGTGAGCAGACGGTAATCGAAGGCGATCGAATTGAGATGACCTGTGACGTAATTGGGTCGCCTCACCCTTCACTCCATTGGTGGAAGAATGGGCAGGAGATGGGAGATAGTGAAACAGTGGGAGGGGCTTATTATGTTAATGGCCGGGCTGGGGTTGTAATACCTAATGTTAGGTACGTTTTGGAAGTAAAACTTCATTTAGAATGTTCACATACATCTATCAGAACCACTAACATTAAAATTATTATGCAATTATTAATAGGAAATATTGATATTTGAGTTATTAGTGACTAAAGTTAGAAGTAATAAATACTAATGTGAATTATTAATAATGAGTAATGATGTTGCTGATGGTGAATTTTATTTTCCAAATTATTAATTCCAGTTTAGAAGATGCTGGCGTGTATAGATGCGTTGCTTCTAACGAAATCGGCGAGGATTATATGGATTATACAATTCATGTTTATTGTATGTGTTTCTTTGTTTGTGTGTGTTGTTGTTTGGCTGTTTGTAAGTTGACGTTTGTATGCTGTTGTTAGTATATTGTTGTATGCTGTTGTTGTTGTTGTTGTTTGTATATTATTGTATGTTGTTGTACGTTGTGTATTTGTTTAGGTGGTTGCCGCCTATGTTTGTGGATGTTTAGGTTGCTGTTTTATTTATTCATATCTCGTCATTATTAAACATTTATCGGCAGCTTATCCGAGGATTGAAAATCTGGAAGCGTCATCATCATCATCGTCGTCATCTTCTTCATTAATATCATCATCATCATCGTCGTCGTCGTCGGTCGCTTCAACCATAAAAGCGCTCGTTGGAAGCGACATTGACATAGTATGCCACACAACCGGGTCACCAGTGCCCGTCGTGACCTGGTTATTTCAAGGTCGTGTATTGCTGACCTCTGAGGGTCAATATCACGTAGGTCTAGGTCATTTGGGCTTGAGAGATTTAAAGGTTAAGAGAGGATTTCTGTATTGGATTTAGTTGTTTTGTTGTATGTCAGATCGGATTGAATAGTTCTATTAAGATTGTTTGATAGTATGTTATTAATAATTTTATCTTTACATTTCATAAATAATTAATTGAATAATTCAATAAATTTGATTTTCTAGGATAAAAAATGTAAAAAATGACTAAAATAATTATATAATCAAAAAACAGATGAATGATACCGGCGCGTACGTGTGTTCGGCTGTCAACATCGTAGGTCTAGTCACGAGGGAGGTTCATCTACTTGTTCAAGGTCAATGAAAATACTATAAAATTATTTTTCTATTTATAATTTTTGGTAATAAAAACAACGCAAATTTGTTGATTGTCATTTAATTTATGTGTGTTATTCTAACCACTAATTAAATTCTTTCCATTTCATAATCCAAATGTTTACATTTTAGCACTTCCGGTAATTAAGGACGGACCACGTGACCAGGAAGTGGCCATGTTGTCACGGGACAAAATAGTGATGGCATGTTTAGCTGACGGTACGCCGACACCGGATATCACGTGGTACTTCAACAACAAGCTCATATACGGTTAGAATTCTAGGATCTAAATAATTTTACATCCATAAATCTGGCGCGAAAACACCAACACACGAACAGTCCCCACCGAAACTCCGCACATCTCTCCAAGGGGGTCCAGTATTTTGGTGATCGATCACGTGATCATGGAAGATGCCGGGATGTACACGTGCGTGGCCAATAACGACCGAGGCCAGGCGCACGCTTCCGCTTACGTCACAGTTAAAAGTTAATTCGATTAATAATGGCAATTATTGCTGTTTTAATTATAATTCTATAATGTTAAAATAGATGGGTTATAATTGAATGATAACGACAATGATGACGACGACGATGACGACGATGATGAAATGATTATTATTATATTTTTAGACACATCATCATTGGATGTATCATCATCGTCGTCGTCATCATCTTTGGAGTTGCAATTGACCCGGCACATTAAGCGTCAGCTAAGAGCGAATATCGGATCCGATCTATTAATCGATTGTCCAATATTGCACATCTCTACATCGTCATCGTCTTCATCGTCGCCAGATAGAAAAAACAAATTAATAACATGGTATAGATTGAAAAAAAGTATTACCAAAGATGATGATGGCAGTGATGACGACGACGACGACCATGATTATGATAACGATGATGAATATTACGATGACGTCACTGATGATGATGATGGTATTGATGATGACGTGAATGAAGATAGTCTCAGAATTATTAAATCGAGTAAAAGAATTAAAATATTGAACAACGGAGCCCTCTATATCAGAAAAATAAAGGTGGCAACTAATTTTACATTTTTTTATTTATAATTTTAGTGATTCATAATTTATTTTTAAAGAATAATTTTAAATAAATTGTTATTAATTAGATATAAAAGTTAAGTGAATGTATATTTTGGAAAATAGTAAAATAACGCGTCATTTTTATAGCGCTTTTTGCTTATACGGTAAAATAACGCATATAGTAAACGAGGGATCTTTTTGCGTTTGAACACAGTCACCGCAACACAGAAGTCAGGCACTTTAACATTCCAACACTTCAAAATTTAACCCAAAACTTGAAAAGCTTGCATTAAATCACTGGCAGGAGTCAGACATTGGCATTTATAGATGTTTCATCCAGTACATTAAACCCGAAGAAGATAGCTTTGCTATCGGTGGTGATGAAGATGATGATAGAAATGATGACGACGATGGCGATGATGAGAATGATGATGATGATGGTAATGGTGGTGATGGGGCGGATGAATATTTCTCAAAAATACACGGTGAAGTTGATGTACATTTTAATATTACAACTGCAAAAGATGATGATGGTGATGACGTTGTAGATGCAAATAAAAAAACTGAAACTATCATCATTAATGTTAACGATGATGATGATGGTGATTATTACTACTATTATCATCATCATGGCGATGACGACGATGACGATGGTGACTACAACAGACATCACAGCCAAACAACTACACCAATTAATATCCTCACACGCAAAGGGGAAATTGGTGACGATAGAATTATTTCTAAAGATGATGACAATGACGATGACGTCAGTATGGTTACGCCATCTTACTTCACTGCAACAACAAAACCAACGACCCTAGATAGTGACAATAAACAAAAGAGAAAGAACATAAAAATGAAAAACAAAGAGAAAAAAGAGGGCGATAAACAAAAAGCAAACAGAGGTAAACAAAGTAAACAACGGCAAGACAAGCATAGACAAAATAAAAAAACCAAAAACCAAAAAACCAAAAGACACATTTCTAAAAACAAGCACGATGACGTCAATTTTAATCACAGCATCGACAACGATAACGACAAAATCAACAACAACAACAAAATTATCAACAATACCAAAATTACAAACGATGACATTTATAACAGCAACTACACCAACAGCAACTACATCAACAATAACGACACCAATATAACATTAAATGATGTCAAGAGAAAAATTTCTGGTTTTAAGAAAAATTTCCAAATTGGGAAAAAGGTGAGAAAAAGAATGGCGACGAAGAAAAAACAAAAAAAAACAAAATCGAAGAAGATTTTTAATTTTGCTTCAGTAAGGGTCATCGTAGAAGGTTCATTATTACCATCATTATTTTACGTTTTTACTTATTTTATTAATAATTAGAAAAATAATAAATTTGTTTATTATTATTAGAAATATTAAAAGAATTATTTTATTCCCGTAAATAAAAATTTCCAGTTAGGTAATTGAAACGTTTTTTTATTATTCTAAGTCAAAGATCCAAAGCCTAACCAACAAATTACTGTTTTTTTCCCAGTTATTCAGCTTATTTATAATATAATTATAAATAAAATTTTGAATAAAATTATGAATAAAGTTGTGTAAAATTATGAATAAAATTATATTATCAGATGGTTCCATAATTGAATAATTATTTTTTTTTTAAATATAGCTCCGCCCACTATTGAAAATTCACTCCATCCAATAGCAATCGACAACGAGAAAAAACCCGATGTTATCGTTCTGGACTGCCTTGTGAGTGGCTCGCCTAAACCGGAAGTGGTTTGGAGGAAAGGTCACGTGACGGTTGGCCGACGCGTTGGACAAGATGGTGACGGCGGCGATGATTCCAGATTTAGCGTCTTGAAGAATAATTCATTAAGGTAAAGTACTTAGTTTTTTGCGTTTCAATGAACTTTGTAGAAACAACACTATCCAATCATAATAATAATAAAAAACAATAATAATAATAACAACAATAATAATAATCAGGATAGTGACTCCAGTAGCAGATGATACGGACACTTACACGTGCATAGCTTACAACAAGTTAGGAAGCGCTGTCACCTCCACATCAATAGCCATAAGAGGTAGGTGGCTTTCAAACGGCGTAATGATATCGTCGTGACCGAGTTCGACTGCGAAGAAATCAATTTTTAATTTGTTGAAACTAATCGCACATTGAAACAGTTGACGGTCATTGGTCAGCCTGGTCTAGCTGGTCCGACTGTGACGTCACCTGCGAATCGGGTTACAAAACTAGGTCGAGGTCGTGCACTGACCCAGCTCCGTTAAACGAAGGTCAAGATTGCCAGGGTGATGGTTATGAAGTAGCTAGATGCAATTTGGCTCTCTGTCCAGGTTAGTATCTGCTGTATAAATTATGATATTTAATTATATTATCATGAATAATAATTTTCTCGATTGTCGTCGCGGATTAGTTGACGGGCACTGGAGCGAGTGGGGAGTATGGAGTGCGTGCAGTAGGTCATGTGACCGTGGAAAAGCCAGCAGAAGTAGGAAGTGCAATGACCCCGCGCCAGAAAATGGCGGGAAAAAATGCTTTGGAGGAAACGATGAAGTGATTGAATGTAACGATGGTCCCTGCCCCGGTGAGTTGGCAAGTGCTGATTGGCTGGCTGGTTGACGGGTGGGAAAATATGTTAGAGGCAAAATATTTTGATATTTTGCTGTATGTGTGGTTGAGTGGTGATAACAATTTGGAGTTTGAATGGTTGTGTTGAATTTGGTACGATTTGCATTGACAAAACATTTTATGAATACTGTTAATAATGACGTCATTGTTGCGTCATCATAATTAAAAATAGTGCAATTAGCATAATTTTGCAATCACCTCATTAACCATCGCCAGTTAACGGATCTTGGAGTGCGTGGAGTGGCTGGAGTGAATGCAGTGAAGAGTGCAACGTGGGGTACAAAGAACGCATAAAGAGTTGCACGGACCCCCCGGAAATGAATGGCGGAATAACCTGCCAGGGTCAAGGACACGAAAGGGTGGAATGTACACTGAAGGAATGCGCAGGTTTTTTTTTTCCTATTTTCTCCAATTTTGAATAACTAACAAAATATAAAAACTCAAAATAAAAAATCGGTATTGTGGGACAGAAAGATGCAAAACAAACACTTATACATACTTTAAACAATTTTGTTTAAAAAATACAAATCACAAATCACCAAAAACAAATCCAGAACCATATCTGTGGACGCACTGGTCTCACTGGTCAGCTTGTAGTGCATCATGTGATGGTGGCTTACAGTGGAGGAAAAGAAAATGTCAATCAACGTCATCATTTTCACCATCATCCTCATCATCTTCTTCATCATTTTCATCTTCTTTCTCGTCTTCTTCCTCTTCTTCTTCATCATCGTTACCTTCATCTTCAATGCTAACGACTTGTAAAGGACCCGCTTTAGAATTTATGAAGTGTAACTTGGAGCACTGTTTGAGTTCAGATATTTAAATCTATTATTATTATATAATTACTAAATGATATTATTTTATAATTTTTTGTTATTATTTTTTATAATATTTATAAAAACCTAATTACCACTGCCATCTAGAGAAAAATTTAACTAATTTATCACATTAACAGTCGAAAGCTTTTGGTCTCAGTGGTCAGGTTGGAGCGCGTGCTCCTCAAAATGTGGTGGCCAGAGAAGACGTTACAGAGGCTGCGTCGACCCATCGAATAATTATAACCATAATTATAACCATAATTATAACCGTAATTATGATATTAACTATTATGATTTTAATTATAGAAACTACGTGAAAACCTGTCCAGGAGGTGACGTCACGGTCGAGGAATGTCCGGATTGTGTTAATAATGACGATGATAATAATATTGTTGAATATTACGGGAAAAATAATTTAAATTATAATAATAATAATATAAGTTTAGAAAGTGATAATAAGGTAAAGGATGTCTTTAATCATCATAATCATCGTCATCATCTACATCATCATTATCATGAACAGCAGCAGCAGCAAAAGTATCTTCATCGTCTTCATCGTCGTCATAGTTATAATGAGAAAGATAGTGGAGATAAGGATGGTAATTATAGTTGAAAATCTGGCCATTGTGAAAATAATGCGAAAAAATTGTTATAAACATTCAAACACACACACATACACATTCACACACACACACACATTCATACATATACACACACACAACAGCATACATTACACGGACGTCTTCATAGAGCAATTTTGTCAAATCGCATTCAGGTTCGCTGCATTCAATCGTCTTTTTAACCACACCTATGCTATTGTTAATTACTTATTTTATGCTAAAACCTTTCGTCATTATTCCAATTCCACACACACGCCACACACACACACGCCATACACTCACACACAAACACACACTCACAAACACACACACACACATGTTGATGGAATTCATTTTTTTACAATTCGTGTTTTCCAATGTATCGATCGTAGTTCAGTAGAATGACAATCTTAACGACATCATTGAAGCCAGACAAAAAAAGTGCCTAGTTGCTATTTTCAATTTTTTTTTTACCTCGTTTAAACAAAAATGAATTTTCATTATAAATAGACATCGTTTGTGTTTCTATATTACCTTGAATTATTATCATTTGTTGCTTTCTGAGATGAGCAAGTTTTCAAAACGTTTTCCTTACTCAAAATGCAAAATGTCAAGCATTATTTCTCGCATGTTTTCATCGTTTATGTTAAATTTGTTGAAATATAACTCTTGCAAAAGAATCTGAAAGTAAAAATTGAATAGAGAAAAAGGTTTTCAATGTGTTTTCGAACAACGCTGGCGTAGATTGCTAAAATGTACTTTTGTCAATACGTCAAAATTCGCCATATAGAAAAATAGAAATATGAGGATAGTTAAAAAGTTGTATATATTGTACATCAAAAAAGGCTTTTCAACAAGAATGACAAACAAAATAGTTTTTTTATTCGCCAGAACTTTTCAAAATATCTTTGCAAATATTCGCAAGCAGACTAAAATTTCTTTCATTTGCCAAAAAATATGTTAAAACTTAAAACACAGTAACCATCAAAAATTTTGAAAATTTTAAATATAATGAAGTAACGAACGGAATAGTTTGCTTGTTAAATATATATATATATATATATATATATATATATATATATATATATGCGTGTGTTTGTGTGTATGTCTGTGTTTGTGTGTCAGTGTGTGTGCGTTGTGTGTATGTGTGTGTGTGCATGTTGAAGTACATCTAGAAGAGTTAAAAAAATCACATATCTATGCAAGCGACGTCATAGTTGGCATGTTTGTTTATTAGTCGCCTATAGCGACAGTTCTGATGGTGCTTAGAAAATAATTTTAATTTAAATAATTCTAAATTGGATTAAATATTTAATTAATTCGATTAAACTTTTATTTAAATCGAAAAAAATTGTATAATTATTTCAATGTAATAACAAAAATGCGTTGTGATAGAAATGAATTAACTTTCTTATTCATAATAATGACACTAAACACATTTAAATCATCAAACTCAGGCGTGTTGGAAAGCTTGAAGACAGCTGGAAAATACTTTTTAGGTACCAGCCACCATCCCCTTATCAATAAACACTACGTGCCTAGTGCCGAGCGACGAAGTAAAGAAACTTACATTCACGAAAACTGGGATCAAATTTGTAAAATTTTTCACGAGGCAAACGAGGAAAAGTTATACGATCTGGTTGTGGATAAACTGAACATGGTCGATAACGAAACTTCGATTTCTGAACTTTTTGAAATCGCACCTGCGGATCTGGCCTTTGAGGATGACGAAGGGCTGGATTGTGATTACGCAAGAATGATTAACACCAGTCCAATTAGTGCAGCTGATGATGCCAGTAAGAGAAAGCATTCTCTTAGTAACTCCCATCTACAACGTCAACATCTTATCCATCGGCGAGAGGAAAAACACCTTCAACATCTTCATCAGCGTTCCGAGTTGAACGTGTCTGGCATTAAAAATGAAAAATCTAACAGCAACATTAATGCTAATAAGAGCAACCAAAACAGCATCAACATCAGCAGCTGCAACATCAGCAGCTGCAACATCAGCAGCTGCAACATTAGCAGCAACAGCAGCAACAAAAACGACGTTAACACTTTCACTGACGTTACAAACAGTAAGTATAAAATGAACTATATAACTGAGGCGCTTCAAAAATTGAAAGAGAAAAAAATTGAAATCCTGAAATTCAACGAGTCTGTTGTCAAAATATTGAAACGCGTGAAGAGGTAAGAGTATTTTTTGTTATTCATGTCACCGTATCGTTATTTATGTCGTCAGTATCGTTATTATTTTTACCGAAATTTTTACTGTCCTTACTGTCATGGTATCGTTGTTATTTCCAACATTCTTTTTCAACATTGCCACTAGTATCGTTATTATTGTGATCGGAATCGTTATTCCGTCATCAGTATCGTTATTATTGTCATGGCCAGATTCAGTAGATTGATTGGAATAAGGCAGAACCTGACGGAATGTATAAACACACAATGCCTAAATCAGGCCACTTGCATGACGAACCTGTTGTACGAAGGAGGCTTCGAGTGCGTCTGTACCGAGGGACATTTTGGTCCCCTTTGTGATCAAAGTTTGTCAATTGGTTAATTGGCAGGTTGATTGGTTGGTTGGTTTGTTTGTTGGTTGGTTAATTGGTAGGTAAGCTGGTTGGTCGGTTGGCAAATAGGTAGAAAGTTATTAAATAGAGTATGTTAACGTAACATAATTTTGAATTGTAGTGTGCTGTATTGTTTTGTACTGCATAGGATCGATTGCGTCGTGTTGTTTCAATATTATTTTTAAATAGAAAACATACTAACCAAACCAACCACACGACAATCAGCCAGTGAAGACTGCATGTTCAGTCCTTGCCTCAACAGAGCGCCGTGTATAAGCGTGTTCGATGGCTACATCTGCGGCTGTCCACCACAATTCACCGGGAAACATTGTGAAAGTATGTCTCTGTGTGTATGTACATTTGTATGTGTACATTTGTGTGTGTGTGAATGTGTTTCTGTGTGTGTGTTTGTGTGTGTATGTGTGTGCGCGCGTGAGAAAGAGATCAATCGTTTTGTTTGTTTGATTGATTGATTGTTAACAAATCAGCTAACAAAATTCAATTATAATATTACTAATTTGATGAGACATCCAATAATTTTTTCTAATAATCAATCAACAAACAACCAATCAACCGTCAATCAATCAATCAATCAATTAATCAATTGTTCAGTCATTCAACTAACTTACCAGTGAATCAACCAAACTATCATTCACACACTCACTTATTCATTTATTCGTTCGTTCATTTGTTCAATCATTCATTCCTTCAACTAACTAACCAACCAACCAACCACTCATTCATTCATTCAGCCAACCATCTAACCAACTAAATTAATCATTTAACCAACCAATGAACCAATCACAAATCATTCAACCAACCAATGAACCAATCACAAATTATTCAACCAACCAATGAACTAATTACAAATCATTTAACCAGCTAATGAACCAATCACAAATCATTCAACCAACCAATGAACCAATCACAAATCATTCAACCAACAAAAGAACCAATCACAAATCATTCAACCAACCAATGAACCAATCACAAAACAGTCGATGCGGAATCAGTCCCGTCAGGCAAGTTCGGTGGTCTCGACCTTGACAAGTATTTCTCAAATGCTGCCTTCTCCTCTATGGCCGCCATTTTGTTTGGAATTTTTGTAGCCGGAGTTTTTATGTTCTGCGTGGAAGCAAAAAAGTTAGAAAATTTCGACAACTTTCATCTTTTAATTTATCCTGACACTATATATCGACGTTGTAGCCTAGTGGTAGAGTGTCTGTCTTCCGAGTCGCAACGACTGGATTTGGAGGCAAGCAGGTGCCTGCTTGGTTGATTGCTACGCTAGGAATATGTAAATTTGCAGTCTTTTTGAATGATGATGTCATGAGTCACTATATAAATAACATGTTGCTGTTCTTATTACTTTCGTTAGTATTAATTTTAATACCATTACTACATAGTAACTAATTAAATAATAAAATAATTTACTTCATAATGTAGTAATTTATTATTTATAATGTTTAGAATGGAGCTCAGGCAAAGGAACGATCAATACCAACAGTTGGCTCAAACCATGGGTTATAAAATTTTTTTTATTTTAACTACTGCTACTGCCATTTTTATAACTACTAAAGATACTACTACTACTACTACTACTACTACTACTACTACTACTACTACTACTACTACTACTACTACTACTACTATTACTACTACTACTACTACTACTACTATTACTACTGCTACTACTACTACTACTACAACTACTACTGCTACTGCTACTACTACTACTACTACTTTTTATACTACAAATTTTGTCGTTACTATTATCACTAGTGGTGGTTTTTAGTATTGTTATTTTCGCGTTGTTTTTATTCATTAAAACAATTCACATGAAAAATGAATAAATAAATAATTAATTAATTAATTAAATAATTAGATGGATAGAATATTAATATAACGCCGGTACCAGGCATGCAGAACTTGACTAACGTGAAATTTGTGAAAGAAGATTTTTACAACGCACTCATTGAGTTGATAATAGACGGTGCTTACGCTGTTACAACTTTCATAAGTAGCTATCTCATTTTTACTATCGTGATGATGACGACGATGATGACGATGATGATGACGATGATGATGACGACGATGATGACGACGATGATGATGTGGATGGTTATGATAATGATTTAAAGAATAATTTAAAAAAAAACTTTTCCCGCCCTCCAAGGTAAAATTTTGAACATGCCTACAATAGCCGCTAATTACATCCAGACTAGGAAAGCTCAGGAAGCCGTTGAAGTGAAGAAAAATATTATAAAGGCTTACAAAGAACAAGGTTTTTGATTCTGGTGACGATGACAATGATGATGGTGATATGATGGTGATGATGACGACGATGATGAAGATGATCCTGATGATGACATAAATTTTTAAGAGAAGCAGGCCGAATGGATGGACACCTACCTGAGGAAGAGAAACGAGATGAGGACGGCGGAGGTGCAGAAGATCGTCGGCAAGGAGATAAAAAAAATCATGATCGACGAGACGAAAAAGATGCAAGAGAAGGAGATGATGGACAGGGAGGCGAACGTGCAACTGACCTCAATCAACACGACCCTCAACGCCCAAACGAACCAAGCCCTGGACGCCCACGACCCCAGAGTACCCCAAACAGCCATGACGTCACTTGCGATGTCGCAGGGCCCGCTAACAACAAACATGGTGGATCAGATAAACATGGAAACAAGCAACTTGACCACCGCCTTGCCGCTGTTGCCGCCGCCACTCCCGCCACCACCTACGCAGCCCGGCGTTTTGAGGTCGACTGTCGGCGATTTTCAAAGAAACTTAAAGATGGCCTATGGTCCGCCAGAGTTTTCGTCGTCATCTCTTTCGACGGACGTCTGAATTTTGATTGGTTGTCTCTATGGGGTCTGGTGGCCGATTGGCTGGATGCCGTGCTGGTTTTTGTTGATTGTGCTGATGAGTTTTTGTTGGTTTTAGTTTTTGGAATTCTGTTTTTTTTTGTGCGTGTTGAGTTACTCACTGTCTTGAAAAAAGATACCATAGCAGTTTAAACATTGTATTAATAACAAAATAGAATTTTAATTATCAAATAATTTATTCATTTATAAAAATAATTACAAAAATGAAGAAAATTATTAAATAAAAATGCCAATATTGTTCCAGCAATAAAAGAAAAGAAAGAAGTAAAAAATACGCCACTCCAGCCTTTTTTTATGTACACAAGTGTTTATGGTCTGGCATACATGTATGTATATATAAGTGTGTGGGTGCGTATGCATGTGTGTGTGTTTATGTGTGCGTGTATGTGTGTCTAGATTAATATCCTGATCTAAATTGGATGTTGTCTTTCTTGACCAGGCAAGAATTTCAGAAGGTCAATGATGATTTTACATCGCATACAAATATGTATGTGTTTGTAAGTGTGTGTGTGTGTGTGTGTATGTATGTATGTATGCATTTATGTATGTGTATGTACGTATCTATGTTTGTGTGTGCATGTTCTTCACGTTTCAGAAAATTTCTTAAATAAATTCAAGTTTTATTTAATAGAAGGTAGCATACAGGAAGTTTTGTTCTCGTAATAAAGTAAAAAGCAAATAACATCTATATTAAACTCTCTCTTTGTCTCTCTCTCTCTCCTTGTCTCTCTCTCTCTCTCTCTCTCTCTCTCTCTCTCTCTCTCTCTCTCTCTCTCTGTCTTTCTCTGTCTGTCTGTCCCTCTCTCTCTCTCTCTCTCTCTCTCTCTCTCTCTCTTTCGTATAATTATACAAAAAAATTATTATTTTAAATATAAGAAAATTAATTTCATTGTCCAAAAAATTGTTTGTTGTCACCCATAATCTGACGAGAAAATTAGACAAAAAAAATTTATATATAGTCATATTATAACTATAACCATCCTCATCATTATTATCGTTGTCATCATCACCATCGTTAATATTATTATAATTATTCACATTATTATATCAACTTGATCTAAAAAAATTTACTTGCTAAACTGAGAAAGTTTCATCAGTAAATCAGGTTTATTTTCTAAGGAGAAAGAAATACATTGAGAAAAACTAAAAATGAAAAAAAAAATTCTGACTCCTTTTTCTCAAAATTTGGTGTTGCCAGTTCTGACCCTCGGCTGTGCGAATCTCTCGGGGTGTTGACCCGTGTTCTTCTTGCGTCGCGTCATGATCAGAGCTCCCACGACCACCGCCACTACCACTGCAGCCACAAGAACGCTAAACACTACGGCAAAAACTGTTTGCAGTGTTTTTGTTTGCGTTCTTTGGTAGGATGGGTGAACACTTTTTTTTATGTGCACATCGTGGTGATGAAGTCGATTGAGTACTTGAATGATTGTTAGTTTGTGGATTGTTCAGTTGAATCGTAAGGGGAATGGTTAACTGTGATTGAATGTTTAGCTGAGAAAAAACCTCCTAACTCGTCGTCATAGTCCCACTCATCTGTCCGATGCCACCCGGATCGACCACACGAATGCCGGAACCGACCGTCGAACTGGCCGTCGGCGATAGGCTGGCAGCTCTCTTGAAGCGTGTCAGTTGAGTTCCCACAGCTCTCTTCCTTCGCGCGGTAGTGCAGTTTTCCTTGTTTGTGAAGAAATTTTAAATGACGATGTTAAGCCTGAACTTACATTAAAACTGACTCTGAAATTGGATGTTTAAAATTTTCCATCATTTCATAAAACATCTTCAGACATATTTGTTTTATCAACAGTTAACATCATAGCGTTGCTTTTATTATCATTTAAACAGCAAACTTGTCATCATCCTCTCTCCCATCATCGTCATAAAAATCTATATGTTTTGAATCATCGAAATAATCATAATTGATAAAATTAAAAATTTAAATAATTTAAAACAAGAAAAATCTCTCTCGATCAAAACCAGAGAATACATGATTCTAACTCTAACCCACCTTTGTCAGTGTTGGACACGCATCTTCATATCCGCCAAGACACAGTCTGATGTTGCAGTAGAGGTAGACATTCTCTGAGGTTATCATCTTGAACATAGTGACCAGCCCAGTCGTCAGGTTGTAAGTGTTGTCGTCCGAGCTACTGGTCCAATACCACGAGTCTTTTGTTGCTTCCGTGCTCAAAGGACATCTGGAATATGAAAATTAAACGATAGATAGTTTTCACTTGTGGAAATATTTTTTTAATGAATTTTTTAATTTATTCAACTTTAAAATTATGTAGAAGAAGAATGCTGTCAGTATTAGTTTAGGCTGTGCGTGTATGACGATATGAGTGTGTGTGATTGTGTGTGTGTGCGTGTGTGTGTGTAGGTGTGTGCGTGTGTGTGTAGGTGTGTGTGTGTGTGCGTGTGTGTGTGTCAGAGTGTATAAGAAGTGATCGAACCCGTTGGACATGAGTGATCTGATCTCTGCGAAGCTGTCGGTCAGCATGAATGATGAGGAGGCGTAACACCGACGCACCTGGGCTAGCTTGTAATTCTCTGGTTTTGATCGAGAGAGATTTTTCTTGTTTTAATTTATTTAAATTTTTAATTTTATCAATTATGATTATTTCGATGATTCAGAAAAGTGACAATGATGATTAAGTCAGCGATGATGACGACAACCTCAAAATGAAGATGATGACGACGATGAAGTTGATGCAGATGATGCCGATGAAGATGAAGAAAATGACGGAAAAAATCCAGCAACAATATCCTACCATCTTTCACCAGGGTGACCTTGAACTTCAATTGATCCCCGATCACAACGACGGCATCGCCAGATAACGGCTGCCCGAATGCATTCAGGATCTCCATCTTTAGATTTGCTGTCACCTGAACTCCACGATCATTTCCGTTTGGTCTGTGTGTGTGTGTGCGTGTGCGTGTGCGTGCGTGTGGGGAGCGTGCGTGTGTGTGTGTGTAATGAAGTTAAGATTTTTTTAGTTATGATCTGCATTAATTAATCTCTATTGCAACCTGAAAATAAAATGTGAAACTAACAGACTAACACAAATAATAAAAAATCAACCAAGAGGTTTGGAAATTTAGATAAAATTTAAACTGCAAACTACAAAAATACCACATCAGCAACAAAAATACCACATCAGCAACAAAAATACCACATCAGCAACAAAAATACCACCTCAGCAACAAAATTACTCACTGTACAACTCCAATACCGGCGTATTCGCCAGTCGCAAATCTCTGAAACTTGCAATACACGTTGAAGACGTAGGATGGATGGGTGTGGCTGCTGTCTTCTACAGAGATCGTATTGACATAAATGTTGTTTGTTGACTGTAATCAATTAGTTAGTTAATTAATTAATTGATTGACTGATAAATTAATTAATTAATTGGTTAGTTAATTAATTAATTAATTGAGTAGGCAAATAGTTAAACAATTTTTGTTGTTTATGGATAGTGCAAATGTGTCAAACATGAACACACACAAACACGTACATCTGATTTTACAACAGTTCCACAGTGGTCAGTTTGATTTATAGCCAGTGTCAAATTCAACGTATAGAAGCCAGCCGGACAGCCATTCTTCACGTCAATGACGTCATTATCTTCTTGGGGTGCCACTGGGGAAGAGGTCGAATTTGTAACCGAAGGAGGAGCGGCTGTTGGTAACGACTGCGCGTTCGTGTTGTTTGCCAGGTAGCCTGTGGAAAAAAGATCGTGTTGATTCATTGCGTTGAAAAACTTGTTGGATTTGTTTGACATTTTTAAATGGAGTTAATGGAGGAATAATTTATTGTGATCTGTCAAGTGCATTGTCAGCAAGGAATGAGATTATCATTAAACTATTAAGTTTTTTGGCTAAATCACCAATCACAAAACAAACCAAACAAACAACTATTTAAACCAGCCAATCAACCAACCAGTTAGCTAACCAACCAGCCAACCAACCTACCTACCAGCCAACTCACCAGCCCACCTACCAGCTAATCAACCAACCAGCCAACCATCCAACCAATCAATCAGCCATCCAACCAATCAACCAACCAGCAAACTAACCTTTGCAATTAACGGTAGCACCCGAATGCAGAATCCAACGATCATTCGTCAGATCAACATTGGGATGAGGTTTGTAGCATACCAGCATGGACTGACTGGAACAGCCCATTTTTACTGTTGGTCATGTCATCACCATTAACTTCATCGTCGTCTTCATAGTCACCATCATTGTCATATTCGTCACTTTTGTCACCATTCGATTGAATGGATGAATAGATGAATGAATGGATAGATAAATGGATGGATGGATAAATGGACGGACAAATAAATTACACCATCTTGCCGTCTCATAAATTAGTTGTTTAATTGGTAATAAATAAATTAATTAATTATGCATATATTAACCTTGCGTGTTCTCGCACTTATCTCCAGATTTTGAGGCTGGACATTGACATTTGGCGGCGCCAGCGACTAATATGCAAATTCCTGAATAAATTATTAAATTAAATAAATATTTATTTTTACGTTTATTAAATATTTATTCTTCATTGAAAGACTGAATGGCTACAATGAATTAATAAATAGATGATGAATGAACGAACGAACGAACGAACGAACGAACGAACGAACGAATAAACGAACGAACGAACGAACGAACGAATGAACGAATGAACTAATGAATGAATGAATGAACGTGTAATTAAACAGATCAATGAACAAATGATTGCACGAACATAATTTTATGAGATGAATAAATTATTAATAACATTAAAGACAACAAAAATATAATGGAAACTTCTTCAAATAAATTAGAAGAACCTAGAATGAACGATCCTAAACTAAGATAGCGTAATTAAAATTTAAATATAAAATACACGATACTAAATAATAATAATAATAATTAAGTTATTATAAACTTATCAAATAATAGCAATAATAATAATAATTATGATCGTAATAAAATTATTAAAAAATGTGTTCGACCTTCGTTTTCGGTGCACTCTTTACAGGCCGGATCATTAGGCTGAGCTATCAATTCTAGGTGGTAGGTTTTAAAAAAAAAATTATTTATAAAATATTATTATTATTATTATTGTTGTTGTTGTTGTTATTATTGTTTTTGTTATTATTGTTAATAACAACAACAAAAATTTGACAACATTAAAATCAGCAAACTCAACACAACATCAACAAAATGGGCAACAACAACAACAACTTCAACATCATCAACAACAACAACGACGACACATCAACGACAACATCAACGACAACATCAACGACAACAACAACTTCAACAACAACATCAACAAACTGCAACAACAACAAAACTAACCACAGGTGTAAATCCCATTTGTGTTCCAATCAGAGAAACCTGTCTTGCAAGCACACCTCTTAGCATCTTCGTTAAACTTGCTCGGAGCACAGTAACTGTTGGCAACTGTTGTACAATTCTCGTCACCGAGGCAAACGCTGAATAACTTCACTGTGTTGTTGTTTATGTTGTTGTTGATGGCGTTTATGTTTTTGTTGTTGTTTAGGTTGTTGTTGTTGTTTATGTTATTATTATTGAAGCTTTTTCATTTGCTGTCTAAGTTATCAGAGTTAGAAAAAAATTAAATTTTAAAACATAAAAAAATGTTTCTAACTTGTCAACCCACCACCACCACCATCACCTCCACTACCACCACCACCGCTGGTAGCATTTCCATTTCCAGACGGCGGTTGTGTGCCCCCAGCGGGTGGTACCACAGGGGATACTACAGGGGGTACCACAGGGGGTTGTGTGGCGGGGGGTGCCACGGAAGAATTTTGGCTTTTTATTAAATTTCTTCCCATAAAACATACAATCAGGATTAAGGTGATATGGATTGAAATATGCAATGATCTAGCGTGTGTGGTTGTAGCCATGTGTGCCTGAATTTGTTTTTGAGACAGAAAATTTGTTTTGAATGGTTGTTGTTGATGATATTGTTGTTTTCTGTTTGTTGTTGTTGTTGATGTTGTTGTTGTTGCTGTTGTTGCTGTTGTTGTTGTTAATGCTTTTTGTTGTTGTTGTTGTTGTTGCTGTTGTTGTTGTTGTTGTTGACGTTAGCTACGTTTTTTAAGATACTGAAAAACAAATTTCATTTTTATTGTTAGTGAGATTCTTGAAATCATTTGAAAAATTTTCAAAATTTCAAAGTTGCATTACTCTATATAAATAAATAATTAAATAAATAAATAATAGTAGTGATGTTAATCATAATTAATTAATCAATTAATTAACTAATTAATTAACTAACTAATTTTTTATTGAATTAATTTTAACAATTAATCAATTGTATAAATTGATTTTATTCTAAAAAGTAAAAACTAAGAAATTAAATTTAATAAATCCGCAATGTATGACAGATAAGAAGGTAACTCCTAACAACACAATGTACTAGGTAGGTAGGTAACCACCGTTAAGAATAACATAATAAAAGATATATACATATAAACATTATATACTTGCCTATTACAAACATGTTACACATGTGTGTGTCTGTGTGTGCGTGTGTGTGCGTGAAAGTGTGTGTGTGCGTGAAAATGTGTGTGTGCGTGAAAGTGTGTGTGTGCGTGAAAGTGTGTTATGTATATACATATAATGTTTTATCCCTATTACAGCAAAAATGTTGATGACGATGATGATGACGATGATGATGACGACGATGATAATGATGATGACGATGCTGATAGTGACGCTGATGATGATGATGATGATGACGTTGATGATGACGTCAGTGTTGGCTATCGATGAGACAATGAGTGAAAAATCGATTATGTTAACATGTGTTATCTATCATACGCAGAATCATTACCATCATCACTATCATCATCATCGTGTTTATCATTATCTGTAGTAGTATTACTATTAATATTGTTATTAATGTTTTTGTCAACATTAATTTTATTATTTTTATTTATCAGTAAAGCTTTCATTTTATTTTCTCTCTTCATCATCACCATCATCATCTCAGTATCATCATAATTCTAAACATGATGACGACCGGCCGAGAGAAACTTAGTGTGAAACAGAGTGATCTCTTGTTATAATTTTGATGATGAAGATTATGAATCCGAATCACTTGATTTTTTTTTCATGATGATTAAAATAATTTTTAGCTGGGCACGGTAAAAACTTCCATAAAATCAGAACATCTGAATCTCTTTATTCTACTTTTCTCTTTTCATTATTTTTATTATTATTATTGTCATGATGATATTTAGCATACGTATTAATGTAATTAACAAATACCTTATAAACGCAATTATATTGTAGTGGTAGGAGTAGTAGAAGTAGAACCAGAAGTATCAGTTGTAACAACTAAATATTTTTGAACAAATCTCTAGAGATATAATGCAAACAGTTGTGAGTTTCATTTTTTTTTTCATTCGTGTTGTGTCAGACTCGAAGATGATTTCATGCAAGCTATTTAAACATTTTTTTTGTCTCTAGAACGGTCAGCACAAATTTAATTTATATGCCAAAGTTTCAATTATTCGACAACTTCAATAGCGTTTTAGTAACTTTCATCAAACATTAACGTACATGCGCATAATTCAATTCAATGCGAGGGACCGTAAAAATCCTCTTACTTACTTTCGAACCCGGTGACTTCGTCGCGACATTTGTAGTAGTTATTAAATAAAATGTTCGCTACTGATTAGATTAAAAGTAGGAACAGTTTCTCCTATATTATTTATTCGTCACCATCATATTGTGTAAAATAAAAACACCAAATATACAACACCCACACACACACGCACACGCACACACGCACACACGTTAGCACCATTTTCTTTTGTTGCCCAGTTGCTGCACCTCCAAAATTTGACCATGAATACTCCTAAATAAAATGTTTCATTACAGTTATATAAGTATCATTGTTTTAACTATTGTTGTCTAGGTAGTACATTGTTATAATTTTTTGCTAACCACAATGCCCGCAAAAATTTATCCATTGTATATGATATGATATCATGTATCCATTACTTTATATTATATCATATATCCGTTATAGCATATATCAATTATACAGTAGTATATCATTTAACCATCATTAGCTTATATAATACATCATAATGTCTTATGAGTCTGTCTTATAAATGTAAATATATAAATGTATATATATATATATATATATATATATATGTACATGTGTGTGTGTGTGTGTGTGTGTGTGTGTGGGTGGTGTGTAAAGATAGATAGATATACCTATACATGTGCATGTATCGATGGATTGCCACCTTATTCATTTCCAATTCCGGTCCAAGAATAGCGTTAGAAACATCGTCGTTAAGACATATGCACACACACATACACACACACACAAACATACACACACACAAACATACAAACACACACATACACACACACATACACAACACATACTAAATCATCCGCGTTGATTCTCTGCGTTTCCATCACAAGCCAGGCGATGTTGAATTGGGTGATTTTGTAACGTGCAAACGTTATGATTCGGTATAGTTTGGTGATGGTTTTATATGGCTGTTTGGTTGAATTATGCTCTTCACAGCAATAAATCAAGATCTTAAAAAGTTTAGATTAATTTATTATGAAAATATTCTGTAAAAATGTCTTGAAAATTAGGAGAAAAATCACTTAAAATGAAAAATATGAAGCGATGCAAATTAGCGACGATGAGTTTTATCACCATCGTAGTATCGTTATTATCATCATCGTTATCATCGGCACTGAACGGTTAGTATTATCATTTTTTTTGTTATTTTTTAATTTAAACCTAAAACACTTTTAAATGTTTTAAATATTTGAGAAGAAAACTGAACAATACATGACAGATACGAGAATTTATAACAAGAAATATGTACAGTAGAAAGTGTTAAATTTATATTTTCAACTATTGTCTATATAGGTTTCATTTATTAAACCAGTTAAAAATAGAATGATTGTAACAATGATAATTCATCCAAAAACAGAAAGAGTGTAGCAATAATTCATCTAAGAATAGATGGATAGTATAATTAATTCATCCAAGAATAGATAGATAGTAAGATTAATTCATCCAAGAATAGATAGATAGTAACATTAATTCATCCAAATATGAAAATAAATAAAATTAAGTTACCAAAAAAACCACTATTTTACAAAGTGCCAGTAAAATCGATATTCATAACAAGAGCGGTTACAACAACACGAACTCGCAACGCGACAACGACAACATTCTTAGACGGTGACAACGACTGTCTCGCGACTACAGCAACAACCTACTCAACGACAACTGCAACAAATTTAACTCTATGGAATCAAACCAGCAGTTACTCTGATATATCGAACTTATGGACAGATTCGCCAACCGATTCAGTCTCTTACAGCACCGTTGTATCTGTTGTATTAACTGGTTAGTGGTACATATCAGTGGCTAATACACGTACTTTGTCTGTGTTTGTTTTTCAAAGTTTTTGCAAAATATTAGAAATAATTGTAGACAATAATAATAGTAGTAGTAGTATTAATAATAATGATAACCAAAATCATAGTCATAATGTTAATAATTGAAATAAACATAAAAGCAGCCCTCATAACAATCACAAACACAAAGCAACATCAATAATAATAACATTAATAAGAAATGCATAACACATAAAACATCAATAGACTATTTTTATCTCTGCTATATTATTATCTAAGTTTATATCTGTGTGTGTGTGTGTGTGTGTGTGTGTGTGTGTGTGTGTGTGTGTGTGTGTGTGTGTGTGTGTGTGTGTATGCACGCTTATGTGTTTTTTATGTTCGTTCAAGTTTGTATGGTGAGAAAGAGATTGTGAAAGAGAAAAAATTTGATGTAATGTAATGTAATTTAATGTAATTAATTACACTTCTAGAAACGTCGAAGATAAGTGTGACAATTAAGTCATCTATAATGAACAGTTTCGGATCTCAGCTATCGAATAAACAATACTCGTATGTTTTTGACTCCACTACTTCTGGTAACATCCCTACAACCGCCGGTACCACAAATGAAACAAGTTTCGATCAAGTTTGTAATAATGGGCCTCAGGCTCCTAACAATATACTGGCTATGTTGATTCAAGAGCTGGAAACAACACTAATGATGTCGTCAGAGACAACAACGCAAACAACATCACAAACAACAACATCGCAAACAACAACATCGCAAACAACATCAGTACTAACAACAGCACAAATCACATCAACACAAACTACAACAATACAAACGATCACACAAACTACAACTTCAGACTCCACATTATCAACAACAACAACAATAACAACAACAACAACAAGCCTAATAACAACACAAACATCAACATTGACAACCACACAAACAACAACCTCAAAATCTACATTATTATCAACAACAACGCTAACAACAATAACATCAACACAAACAACATCACAAACAACATCAGACACAACTACATTAACGATAGCAATAGCATTAATAACATCACAAATGATAACAGCATCAACTATAGCAGCAGCAACAACAACACAAACAACAACACAAACGACATCACAATCACAAACAACAATACAAACAACAACAATACAAACAACATCAGCACAAACAACCACACAATATACGTCACATACAACATCAATGACAACTACATTAATTATAGCAACAACGTTAAAAACACCACAAATCACAGAAGAATCAACTATAGCAACAACGCAAACAACAACAACACAGACAACAACACAGACAACAACACAGACAACAACACAGACAACAACACAAACATCATCAATCTCAACATCAACAAAACAAACAACAACACAAACAACAACAGAAACAACATCAATCTACACATCAACAACCCAAACAACTACACTGACAAAAACACAGACAACAACACAAACAACATCAATCTCAACATCAACAACACAAACAACTACACAGTCAACAACACAGACAACAACACAGACAACATCAATCTCAACATCAACAACACAAACAACTACACAGTCAACAACACAGACAACAACACAGACAACATCAATCTCAACATCAACAACACAAACAACTACACAGACAACAACACAGACAACATCAATCTCAACAACAATCTCAACATCAACAGCACAGACAAATACACAGACAACAATACAAACAACTACACAGTCAACAACACAGACAACAACACAAACAACATCAATCTCAACATCAACAACACAAACAACTACACAGACGACAACAACACAATTAACTACACATACTACACAATCAACAACGTCAGCTGCACAAACCACAGCAGCGCAAACAACAACATCAACGAGAACAACACAAACAACAACACAAACAACAATACAAACAACATTAGAGGCAACATCAACACATAAATCATCAACAACACAGACAACAACATCAACAACACAAACAACAACACAAACAACAACACAAACAACAACACAGACAACAACATCAACAACGCAAACAACAACACAAACAACCACCTCAACAACAACATTATCATCATCACAATCAACAACGTCATCACTATCATCATCATCCCAGACAACCCCAACAACAACACAAACAACAACAACACAAACAACAACGCAAACAACAACACAAACAACAACAACGCAAACAACAACAACAACACAAACAATAACACAAACAACAACAACACAAACAACAACACAAACAACAACAACACAAACAGCAACAACCCAAACAACAACAACAACCCAAACAACAACATTAGCAACAACGATACAATTTCTACCGACGACACAAACGACAGTGACGTCATCGACCATAGAAAACTTAGTCGTCATCAGGCTGTACGTCAAAGACAACGACATCCAAATACAAAACAACAACAAAAACAACAACAAAAACAACGAAAACATCTATAGCAACGAAATTGATTTATCGATCCAGTCAAGTGAGTTGTTATATCGATCGGGCCTATTATTGTCTTGTATACACAATTTTCATACATTGCATACAATCTTTGTATGTTTTATACACGAATATTGTATATATTGTAGGCATACAAAATTTCATATACAAATATTGTGTATACTGTTTAAAAAAATTCCATATACCAATATTGTATATTTTGTATACATAATTTCATCGATAATTATTGTGTATATTTGTGTACAAACTTTGTGTATGTTATTTGAAATGGCTGCACACAATACAAAACATCATGCTCATTGTATAAATATCATTCAGATTAATTTTTATCATTCTTGGGCAGGCATAAATATCTGTTTGTATACGTTCATACGTACAATCGTACGTACATACATACATACATACATACATACAAGCACACATACAAACATACATACAAACAAACATACAAACACACCAACAAACATACATTCATACATTTTATTTAGAGTGCATGCAAATATGGGTTGCTTTGCGCATAGGTCGACACAGATTACGCTCTTCACAGACATCTGATTGTGGTGTGATGTTGTTGATGCTTTGCTGCTGCTGTTGTTGCTTCTGCTGCTGCTGCTGCTGAAGTTGTTGTTGCTGATGATTGTGGGAATGATGACGACCCAATGATGATGGAAGCGGGGATAAAATAACTCATCCAGAAAATGGCGTGTTTTTTAGCGCTATTCATCCGAACAATGCATCGATAGCCTCAAATACAATGAGGCTGTTGATGACGACGACGATGATGTCATCAAGATAAAAATAGCCATCAGTCAAAAATTGTTTTTCATCTATGCTCATGTTTACTGCTCTTATTCTCGTCTTACCTGTATGTTGTTGTAAAAATAATTCAGATTTTTCGGCCTTGTTGTGTCTTTCATTTCTATGTTTATTTATTTTTGGAGGATAACATTAGAGTTACTGCTATTTATATTTTTATATCTTTGTTGTCGTCATCATTGTAGTTAGGATTATTATTCGAATTATCACGACTATAATCATTTACCATCATCATAATTGTCATCATTACCATGACCATCCTCATCATCGTCATCATCTTTATCATCATCTTCATCATCATCTTCTTCATCATCATCTTCGTCATCTTCATCACCAGAAACGCCAGTTTACGTAGGCATATCTTTGGTTACCAAAACTTCCGTCAGCAGCCTCGATGACATCATCAACAACATCAACAACAACAACCACATCAATGACATCATCAATAGCATTAGTAACAGCAATAACAACAACAACACTAACAACAGCATCACCAACGCCGTATCTGACATCAATAACAACAACGAAGACATTCTCATCAGCATCAACAACAACATCAACAATGACGTCAACAACAACGTCACCAAAGATGTTTTAAACTCCATTAAACAACAACACCCTTCACTCGCTGTCAACTGCGTCAGCGATTACGGAAATGGATTCAAGATGACGTCATCGTCGGCTGGCGATCTCTGCGAGGTCCCTCTTATTCCGCTGGAAGTATACGGTAATTGGGATCAACAAAAAAATAAATTATCCATAAAAATCGATATCATTTAAAAATTAAATTTAATAAATTTTATAAAATCCAAAAATCTTAAAAAAAAACCAATAAAAGACTGCAGGTTGACGACATCGGCGCGGGAATACAACGGGACCGAATCCGTCACGGAATCCGGAAACACATGTCTACCATGGAGGACCATTGACAGCCAGCAATTAACCCCGCTGGAAAATTTTGACACAGCAATGATGAGTAGGAGTGAAAATTTCTGTCGCAACCCCGACGCCAATTTTGTCGGTGGTCCCTGGTGTTTCGTCAACGAGGGCAGCGGTTCCGGCGTCAAAAGGGACTTTTGCAACCTGCCTATGTGTGGTTAGAAAGGGAGGGGGTTGTTTTATTTCACACTGATGACGTCATTATTCTATTAGCTGAGTGTTATTTTGTATTTTTCTGGTATAAACAGCATGTGAGAAGTGGATAATGAGTGAATAACCGCATCATTACATTTTATTCTTAAGAGAAATTCGCGTTCGATTGCATTCGAAATACTAAAATGTGAGAGCGAAAAAAAAGCAGGAGTCTTCAGCTAACTTCAGATCTCGCTATGGAATGATGATGGTGTTATAACTTGATACGATAGAATTGATGATGAGAATGATGAGGCTGATAATGACGATGATGATTATTTTAATGATCTCTCGACACGCAATTAAAATTAAATCACATGTATTTTAAAGTTAAGAAATTAATTCTCAGATCAATCTCAACAATTAAAAAATTATTTAATTAAACAGACAGATTGAACGAAAACGTAGCATTGTATTCTCCGAGAACTCTACCCACTCAGCCGCAACAATCGCCCCAAACAATTATCTCATCGCTGGTGGATGGTCTGTTGAGTCAGGAATTGAACCTATGTTTCAAAAGCGAACTCCAAGCGACACCATGGATTGCCGTGCAGTTGAACCAGCGTTCCAAGATATACGCCATTTTTATTACAACCTGTGGTTAGCCTAATGATAAAATTACGACTAGGATTGTAAAGGTAGGAATGATGACGACGACGATGATGGTGACTTCTAGCGCAATCATAAAGATGATGACGACGACGACGATGATGATAAAGTTGAAAATTATTATAACGATGTACCACTGATTATTTTTAAACTTTTCAATCAAACTTTCGATTGAGAAATTAAAATTTTTACCCTTCAACCGACAGACATGCCCTTAGGTCAATTCGTAATCGGAGTAAACGAAGACCCACCAACCATACCCCCCACCGTCATAAGCATCACCACAATCCATTTTTACCAAAACACCATTCCACCACACAACACCACAAACATCTATCTGGATAAACTCTACTACGGTAGTTACGTCATTCTTGAGAAGTTTTTTACCTATGGGTTCTTGGCTCTAATGGAACTCCAGATATTTGGAACTCCATCGAGTTTGTGGAATTATTGTTGATTTTATTACAATTATTTGAATAATAATAATAATTATTATTATTATTATTGATACAATTTTTAAATATTTATAGTTTGAAACATTTAAAAAAAATTAATTCCTTCTAACATTTTATTTTATTCTTCAGGCGAACCACAGACACCTGACTTCATCCCAGGTAAGATAATACAAATTAGGAATAATACAAATGCGTGACAATATTACTAAGTAATGAAATTATTTATGGAGATTATAGGGATATTATAATGATAGAAAGATTGATGTCATAATCATAGAAGGATTGATATCATAATGATAAGACGATTGATATCTTAATGATAGAAGGATGGGTATATTAATGTTAAAATAATGTTGCTTAATGTTACCACAGAAAGACAGAAATGTAAATTTTTATTGAAAATTTTTTTCTCCAAAATAATAATTTGCCAAAAAATTTTAACAACAGCACCTGCTAACAACTACACCATTAACGAGTTTGGTCAGTATTTTAGCTTTATATTCTGATTTAATTTAATGCTATTTGAAAAGAATACTTGACTTAATAAACATGATGCCTAAAACAATTTGTAAATCACACACACGCGCACAAACAAACACACAAGCGCGCACATACACATATACATACAAACATACATACATACACGCACACATACATGCAGACACACACAAATACACGTAACAGGAAATTTAACTTGGGTGTACGCCTGCCAATGTTTCTCGCGAGGTAACATCGGCGAAATCAAATCCAACATATCACTCGACGACTGCAAAGCTTACTGCTACGACAAATACGCCGACAGCTGCATGGCGATCGACTACGCCACAGAAATCTCCGAGTGCTACTTGCACGTCGGTGGTCAGTGGCTGGATGTCGCCTTCAACCGGCGTGACTGGCCTAACGTTCAACAGCATGTTTTGTGTAGGGTTTTTACGATTTTCATTGAAAATTATTTCAAAATAATATTTTAAATTTTTATTATTATTATTATTTTTTATTATTTGCTATTTTTTATAGTTTTAAATTTATCTAGTGTGGTAAATATTTTTCAGATTTGTCGTGCCCTGTTTACCACGCCCTTGACAGCTCCATCCAATCCTTCCACTACACAGACAGATACGAAGTTTTCATCCAGTGCACCTACGGCCATCACTTCGACAACCAGCCAACCACCACTCTCAAATGCCTGGCGGGCCTTGGAAGATGGTGGCCGAATGTTACGTTCTGCTTGCGTAGGTATATTTTTTTCTACGTTACACTTCTCGTCTTTTGTTAAAATATTTTTTCATTCTCAGCCATAAGGTGTCCAAACTTGAACAGTACAATCAACAACTACACAACCAGCACTAACGAGACACTGTTCGACACGGTTGTTGATGTTCAGTGCAATGATGGATTCATCTTCGTTGACCAAACTGGACTGCAGGCGACCACCACTTGTCTCACTACTGGCTTCTGGAGTCTCGATCTTCTACCTTGCAAAAGTATTCTGCTAGTTTTTGTTGAATGCGAATAGTAATTTAAATGTTAGAAATGCAAGTTAATTAGGGAAAACTTATCAATTTTTTGTGTTTTAACAAATCATTTTCGAACAAAATGCAAACAGTATCGTAAACTGTTTAATGCGTGATTAAAATAAATTCTACTACACTTTTGAATTTTTAGGAATAACATGTCCAGAGATTGACTACTTCTCAAACCCCTTTCTGACCATCAGTACGACAAACAGGGACTTCCACACGGTGGTCATCGCTGAGTGTCAGAGGGGGTATCAGTTCTGGGGCAGCAACAGAATATTGAGGAAGGCAATTTTGTGTGGAGGTCTTGGGGAGTGGAATGACACAGACATCGATTGTGAAGGTGGTTTAAAAAATGATGATTGCTCTTAAAAGTGATGATGCTGTGACGATGAAATGATGACAATAACTGCTGTGATAATGTTGATAACGGCTGATAAATCATGTTATTAACATTAAATGATGATTTTACAGGCGAATCAAGCTGTTTATATACTTGATATTTTATTATTTTCACAAATTTGTGTAAAATTTTTTTTTATTATTTTCAGAGTTTTATTGCGAAATCGATCCAGCTGCCTACAACATTGACATATCGTCAGCGGCTCCTCCGTGGCATTCCAAAACATCCTCCTCACCTGCAATCTTCAACTATCCGGTTGACTCGGTCGTCAGTTTTCCGTGCAGCGACGGATCAAAAGTGGATACGACGACAGCGCCCCAAACAACAACACAAACTACTCCTCCTACTGCAACACAAATTTTAGCGTGTGACGAAATAGGACAATGGCAGCCCAGCATTTTGAGTTGCCAAGGTTGGTACATCTTATATATAATGCTATACATATATATAATGATAAACTTTTTTCATAACGTTAGTTAGAAAGTTAAACAAGTTATATCGCCAATATAAAGTTATAATTTTCTAGCTAAGGTTTAGATTCAACCAAAATAAATAAAAATATATGTGCCACACAACAAAACATGAATAGAATTTACTTGTCCATCGCTACCTTACCTCGCAAGAGCCGTTTTAAATGTGACGATGCCAAATGGTACCCAGCAAGTTATCGACAATTTGAATACTACTACCTCAGGTTACTAAGATGTTTGAGAAAAATTTTGCAGAGAGGAATTTTTTATCTAGCAAGCTTTCACACATTAAAAACTTTCATATATAGCAAACTTTTCCACATCTATGCCGCACAAAACGCGAGCAAGTTTCAATTATTCGATTTAAACAACAAAAGCTTCTATTTGTATTTTAATGCAGTTACTAAAACAGCAGTGACAGACGCCTTAACCATCACACCAAGAAACTACCCATTTTCAGAACACAGCACATAAAACGAAAACGACAAATTTTAATTTTTGGATCAACAATTCCCAAAATATGCCCACTTTCATTCCAGCTCCATGGTACCCGTACAATACTACCGCACTGGAAAGCTGTTTGAGAGGTACTGAAGTGGACATCTCCTTCAAAAGCACGGAGCTAAGTACTTGTTCATTTCCTGGTGTCTGGCAGCCAGCTTTGAAAGATTGCATCGGTGAGTCAGTGAGTGAATGTGAGCAATTGTTTGAAAATATGTCGCTATTCACGTTGCTATTTGAACATTGTACTCTTGTCTTTTTAATTTTGCTTCAAAGCAAACGAAAATTTTGTATGGTATGGTATCGTATCGTATCGTTAAATCATCACCAATCATTTTATTCACCAGATATCGTATGTGATAACCTACCCACACCCGGACATGCCACCATGACGACCCCAACAGTACAGCTGTCCCAACCATCCTACCCATTTGAAACCACCGTTGAATACACTTGCGAGGAGGGCTTCATTTTGAAGGGGCCCTCCGACGAATACCTCGGTCTCAAGCAGACTACTGTGTGCCAGGGTACTAACCTTTGGGTACCTAGTCCAAATGCGTGTTTAGGTGGGCTGGTTTTGTTGTTTTGATTGCTATCGTTGTTGATGTAATTTTTGTTGCAGCTGAATTAATATTTTTGCACTTGTTTTTTTAATCTAGAAGGTTTGATATTTTTCATTTTATATATAATTGTTATTTTTATTGTTAGTGAAAGTGTTTTTGGCTGCTCTTACTTTTAAAATTGTCGCAGTAAGGAATATAAATATCACTAAAAATGACAAGTTCACCAAAATTGTTAAATTATTCACATTTTTCAAAATTATGAAATTCATCCATCAAACTTTTTCTCCCCGCCAGACGTGTACTGCCCTTCAATATTGACAGCCAATCAGAACGTCAGCCTGTCCACCACCGACACCATCCATGGTACAGTAGTGACCGTCGACTGTTTCACTGGACACGAGTTTCCCGATGGTGGTTCCACGCAGACGGTGGTCACGTGCTTGAATTCAGGGGGCTGGTCCAGTGTGGTGGGTGGCTGCCCGCGTTAGTATTGGTGGTGGGTGGTGGTCAGTTGGTTGAATTGTAAAAATAGGAGATAGTCTAAATAAAACTTTTGAAATTTAGACTAAAAGTTTTTTTAATGGTGATTCTTTTTTTTCTTTTTATTTTCATTTATGCCCTTTAGTAAAAATTTTGCCCTCCAGCAATTCATTGTCCCGACCTGAACCCTGACCTCAACAACATGACGTCATCAAATGACGACACGGCGTACACCAGCGTCGTCACACTCGTCTGCCACGCGGGATTCAAATTTTTCGACAAATCAACGATCAGGAAGGTGGTTGCGTGTCTGGCCGATAAAAATTGGAACGACACAGGTCTGAAATGCGAAAGTAGGTCTCATTTGATTTTTTTTTAATTAGGTCAAGTTATTAGGAGTAATGATTATGAAAAAAAAATATAATTTTAGAAGTTTTGGCAGCATTTAAATTTCCAATTAATTAGATAAAAAGCTAGCACGACGACGATAACAACACAAATGATATCCGTAGCTGAAACAACACCAAAATATTAATTTATTATAATTATAATTATTATTATTTACGCAGGGATCAAGTGTTCCGACCTGCCCCCCGTGACCTCCATAAGGTCAGTGAAGTCTCAGGACGGCACAGAGTACTCGTACGACAGCAACAACTACAACCAGCTGTCTGACGCCAGGACGCTCGTGTTCGACTACGACACCGGGTTGACATTTTTTTGTGAAAATGGGACAAAGGTTGCTGGTATGACTATGAACGGACAGCCTGTTTACGACCAGTTCACTGTCTGCTCGGGTCTTGGGTCTTGGATACCGTCTCCAGAGAATTGCATTGGTATATGAAATGATATATGTTATATGTATGTTATACATATGTTATCACGCAATTTATTTTTTGTAATTTTTTGTTATTCAAATGCGTTATTTATTTATTATATTTATTTATTTTAGAATAATAATTTGAAATTTTCTCCAGTCATAACATGTCCGAGCTTAGACGGTGCCGCCAACAACTACATAACAAGCACCGACGCCACGGTGTTTGGCACTGTCGTCGACGTCCAGTGTTTCGATGGATTTTATTTCCTCGACCACACCGCCAGAGAAGCCACCACCAGGTGCGAGAACACAGAAAGATGGAGTCTGGAAGTTAGCGCCTGCGAAGGTTTGCTGGGATTTCCAAGTTGGGATTGGGCAGCGGTTGAAAACTTGCAGCAGTTATTTCCATTTTTACTTTTTAGTTTTGGCATCTCATTCCTACTGCATATGTTTAATACGCATTTAAAAAAAATATTTTCAACGTTTTATTGCGGTACTTTTTGTCGAGCGTTGACTTAATAAGTTCCCGTGGTGCCCGCTGAAATGGCGCATCATAATCTGCCAAAACAGGATTCGAACCAGGTCAACACAGGATGATTTTCTGCCTGTTCACTAATTTAAATCAACGTTCACTAATTTAAAATATTTTACAAAAATTATATTGTTTCATATTCAATTACTTTCGAAAAACTTTTTTTCATATGGTAAACTATTTTCAGTTTATACGTTTCTAAGTCCATGTAAAATACTCCTACTGACCATTGAACTTTCACAATTTCTTTGGATTGTAGCTATCAAATGTCCAGAGATTGATTACTCCTCAAACCCCTTTCTGACCATCAGTACGACAAATAGGGACTACCACACGGTGGTCATCGCTGAGTGTCAGAGGGGGTATCAGTTTTATGGCAGCAACAGAATATTGAGGAAGGCAATTTTGTGTGGAGGTCTTGGAGAGTGGAATGACACTGACATTGATTGTGAAGGTCGTTTTTGTTGATTATTATTCTACGTGGTCATTCAACTTTTTATATTACTGGCAACAAATTGTTGCATCATTTTAACAGAATTCTTCTGCGAAATCAACCCCATCCTCTACAACATCGATTTGTCGTCACCGTCAGCTCTGCCCCCTTGGCACTCCAACTCATCAACCTTCCCTACGATCTTTTACTACCTCGTCGGATCTGTCGTCAACTTCCCGTGCGTCGATGGCGCGAAAGTGATCGAAAATGTTGAAGAATCAACTTCAGCAGTAACAACAGCAACGACATCAGCCACAACAACAGCAACGACATCAGCCACAACAACAGCAACGACAACAGCCACAACAACAGCAACCACATCAGCATTTCTAATAACACTGCCATTGATAAACAACATCATTCAGCCTTTGATGAATCTACTCATGCCTGCTGCTCAAACTGACCCCGTCTTGACCTTTCAAACTTTAACCTGCAATCCGATTGGCCAATGGGAACCCAGCATTTTGAAATGTGAAGGTTGTTTTTCTTTCACCGTCATATTGAATTATAACGTCGTTTCAAATTTTAGCTTCAAATTCATAAATTTACCTATTTTCTTTTTAAAAGTTTTAGCACACAAACACTTTCATGCAAATGAATAAATAAATGAAATGTAAACACAAACATTTAATAATCGAGCAGAGGTGGCTTGCCCGCCCCTTCCGCACCTTACGAGGGCCACCCTAGTTGTCACGAGACCTGACGGCACACAGTATGTCATTGATAATCTCATCAATACTCTTTCAGGTTGCCCTCATTTTATTTAAATTGTCCGTACGTGATGAACAAATGTTTGTTTGGAGTGTAACACAAAATTGTATTTGGCAAAATGGAATTCCAATTTCAATTGATTTCAATCTCAAATGATTTCAGTTGCGTGGAACGCGTATAAAACTATCGCATCGGCTACCTGTCTAGAGGGGACTCAACTTAGTGCCAACTTTGGAACGAGCCAACACACTACTTGCACCTTCCCTGGAATTTGGAAGCCCGAATTGAAAGATTGTTCTGGTCAGTTTGTACATTTTTTCAACCTATAAAAATAATAAACTATAATTGATTGTAATAATAAATAATAATAATAAATAATAATAATAATAAATTATAAACACATCTTTACTTCATTAAATCAATTGTGGTTGATGTATGTATAGCCATCTTTGACAACATCACCTCACCAATCTTAAGCATCATAATTTTTATCATGTTCTCCAACGATCCCTAGATATCGTCTGCAACGGCCTGCCGTCTGCCAACCACATCTACGTCACAGATGGAACGATTCGAGAGAAGGAGCGGTCGGCTCCACAAACATACGCCTTCGAAACTGTCATTGAATACACTTGTGAAGATGGATACGACTTGCGGGAACCCTCTTCCAAAACTTTCATGGGTCTCAAGCAGAATATTTCCTGCCTAGGTACCGGTTTCTGGACGCCTGATCTCACTCCATGCGTAGGTAGGTTGGCTGCCAGATCTTCTTGCAGCCGCTACTTGCTTTCCCATCATTGTTCAAGTGTTTCGTCTGGAATTGAACTATAAACACTCCAGTAATACATAGGATAACATAAATTGCATGATATCACAACATTTCTCATTTTCGCTGTGAAATATACAATCGCAAACATTGCTTATGAATATTAAAACAATTTTTTCAGTCAACTAGCTAATGAGATTGAAGTACAATAAATTAAAATTTCATTTTTAATATTAAAAAGATTTTATAAAAATCAATTTATTCTATTTATTTATATCAATTTATTCACAGACGTGTTTTGTCTCCCAATACCGACAACTGACCGAAACATCAGCCTATCTACATCTGAAACCATACACGGAACGACAGTAGATGTCGCTTGTTTCACTGGGCATGAATTTTCCAATGGAACTCTGCAGATGAAAATCACGTGCATGAACTCTGGGTTTTGGTCAGACATTGTCCAGAGCTGTTCGCGTTAGTATTGGTTGGGTGTGTGTGTCTGAAATTTAATTGTCCAATTATTGGTTAATGATTGTAATAAACCTTTTTGAGTTTCATCAATATTTTGATATGATTTTGAGTATTATTAACGTGTATATGTATGTATCTACTTTGATTGATTGATTGATTGACTGATTAAAAGATTAATTGATTGATTGATTGATTTATTGATTGATTGATTGATTGATATATTGATTGATTTGTTGATTTATTGATTGATTTGTTGATTTATTGATTTATTTATTCTCTCATTCACTTTCACTCACTCGCCACGATATCCCTCTTTGGCCTTCAGCAATTCACTGCCCCAACTTGAACCCTGACCTCAACAGCATGACGTCATCATCGAGTGACACGGCGTACGCTAGCGTCGTTGCGCTCGTCTGCAACGAGGGGTTCAAATTTTTCGACATCCAATCCACTCGGAAAGTGATTCGGTGCCTGGCAAACAGGAGCTGGGATAACCCCGAGTTGACCTGCGGAAGTGGGTGCCTCTGACAATTTTGAAATAATCTCATTTTTTGTAGTTCGTTCGTTCGTTTGTTTGCTCACTCGTTTGTTTGTTTGTAGTTCGTTCGTTCGTTTGTTTGCTCACTCGTTTGTTTGTTTGCTCGCCGTTTGTTCGTTCGTTCATTCCTTCATTCATTCAATGCCAATTTCATAAAGCGTTATTTCAGCGGCATTCAAATTCGAGACAGGACTGAGTTTAAAATAATGGTGTTAAGTTTTTATTGTAATATTAAGAGATTGTTGAAATGATATCAATAAATTTGAAATAAATCTTCCAAAAGAGCACAAACAACATTGATGTTAACCACGAAAAACCACACAGGAATCAAATGTTCCAGCCTACCAGCCCTGAGATACATACAGTCGGCCATGACAGACGACGGCACAGAGTACTCGTACAACAACAACAACTACAAGCAGCTACCCGACGCCTTCGCCCAACAGTTTGACTACAACACCTGGCTGACGGTCTTCTGTGAATATGGGACGAAAGTCAACACTACAACCACAAATAACGGGTTTCCTCTTTATCAACAGTCAACGTTTTGCACGGGCCTTGGATCTTGGCTGCCTCCTCTCATCACTTGCATTGGTTCGTTGTTGTTGTTGCTTTGTGGTGGTGGTTATTGCTTGTTTATTTGATTGTTTTGTTTGTTTGTTTTTGTTTGTTTTTGTTTGTTTTTGTTTGTTTGTTTGTTTTGGTTTGTTTGTTTGTTTGTATGTTTGTTTGTTTGTTTGTTTGTATGTTTGTTTGTTTGTTTGTTTGTTTTTGTTTATTTGTTTGTTTGTTAGAAATATTTGTAATGACATCATTAGACACGCAAATCAAGCCTTCAGTACCTTAACATCATTTCAAACAAGAACAAAAATATTTTCTTGCCAGATGTCCAATGCCCAAAAGTTAGTTTCTCGGACACGTACAGCCTTTCAACGGACCAAACAGTCCGGCGTACGAACCTTACAATAGCCTGCTCGCTTGGCTACGTGTTTGCCAGTGGAGTGAAAAGAAAAAACTATCAATGTCTGGACAGCGCTGCCTGGAGCATGCCTATCGAGGAGTGCATCAGTCAGTTTTTCATTTCACTCCGATGTGTCTTGTATTTGGATTTGATGTTGATTGAATGACATTTTCTCTTTAAAACTTTAATTTATTAAATAAAAAATTGAATGAATGTAGTAATAATATAATTAAAACTAATAAATTTACTTCTGAAAATATTATTGCAAATTTTAAAATGAAAAAGATAAAAAAAACGAATTCTTACTACCTGCATACGCAATCTAAAGACATCGAAAACATTTTTTTTGATACCCCCCCTCATCCACCCAGCGGTCACGTGTCCCAGCCTGGACGCCGCCAGCAATAACTTCACGGCGAGCACAACAGACGTAAGGTACGCCACGGTAGTCCTCATGACCTGCTACCCCCTAAACGCCCTACCAGATGGCGAGGTCACGAGAGGGGCTCAGTGTCAAGATGATGGGACCTGGAATGTTACTATCGACCGCTGCAAGTGTAAGAAAAAGATGGGGGCATGATGACGGCGATGATGATAGTGGTGATGATGATGGTGGTGGTGATGATGGTGGGGATGATGGTGGTGGTGATGATGATGGTGATGATGGTGGTGGTGATGATGATAGTGGTGATGATGATGGTGGTGGTGATGGTGGTGATGATGATGGAGGTGGTGGTGATGAAGTCGCTAGTAAATATGATAATAACAAGGATGATTATGACATATAATAAAATGTAAGAAGAAGCATGCCATTAACAATCATTCAAATGTTTTTTCTTGTAAAAATGTAAATTCATCTAAAAAAAAAATTTAACTAACATTTCATCAAATCAGCAGCAACAAAAAATACAACCCCCCTTCTTTTATGACCCAGGGGTGTGGTGTCCGGCCCCGAACGCCCCCTCAACTTTGATCCTCTTGAATGCCAGCCAGGCTAACTACCAGATGTATACAAGGTTGACGTATCGGTGTCCAATAGGAAAGAAACTGATGAGCAACAGTCTGGAACAAAGCCAGGAATGTACTGGCCTGACTACGTGGAAACCTTCGACATTTTTCGACTGCATAGGTTCGTGTGTGTCTTTGCTACCTTTCTACCCGCGTTCGTCTAATTTGTTATATAATTTATGTTAATTAAAATATTTTATGTTAATTAAAATATTTTATGTTAATTAAAATATTTTATGTTAATTAAAATATTTTATGTTAATTAAACGTCGTATTGTCAAATGTTGGTGGAATATGAATAGAACATATGGGCCATTTTTTAAAAATTTGTTTCAAAGTTAATTTATGTTTCGTTTTTAAAATCTTGGAAACAATTTCCAGCTAAACAATGTGAAAAAATGATCAAATGTGATTGGTTGTAGGGTAACTAGTGCGATCGAATGTGATTCGTTGGGTAACTAGAGCGATTGATGGGGATTGGTTGGGTAACTAGAACGATTAAACGTGATTGGATGCAAAATAATCTATTGAAGTGATTGACATACGATTGGTTCGACAATATTGTTTTTCAAACTCTGCAAACACCTTCCAGACAAGCAGTGCCCAGAGTTGAGTACGATATCGAACGCCAGCCCGGACACACTGTCCAGAAAATACGGCACGATGGTTCAGATCACCTGTCCTGACTTCATGCTCTTCCAGAATAAAAAATACGTGCGAAACATCATCTGCGAAGATAATGAGAAGTGGAATGAAACTGATATCAAATGCACGGGTGAGTTTTCTTTAGGAGAAAGTTTTGAGTTGCAGGTTGATGTTGGTGGCTGACAGATTTAATGTCATTGAAATTACATAAATTGAGTAAATAATTAATGGGTGGATTGGTTCCAATAGTGATTAATTATGTGGTTTTGTCGGTAAGACTAAAGTGCTGGTTGGCTGATGAAATTTTTTCAGGCGAATAAATGAGCGAATGAATTTGACGATTTTTATTTGCTAAGGTGGTTTGAGTGCAAGAGCATTTCAGAAGTTGCGCTCTATAAGTCTATTTGATTGTATGATTGACTGGTTGATTGGCTGGTTGATTGATTGATCGGTTGGTTGACTGGCTGCTTGATTGGTTGAATGATGATTGACAACCGCAGCTCTGTATTGTGACCCTTTGGATCCAGTGGCCAACTTTTACGAGATCAACACCACTGACGTCATTGCTGGTTGGAAGTTTTTAACTTTATTATTTTTTTTTTTGAAATTACTCACAACTTCATAAGCTATTTGCATTTTAGTTGCAATTAATTTGTACTTAGTTACTTAAGAACATATCATCGTTGGCACCAAAACAACACTACACACCAACCACACCACACACGACATCACACCACACACGACACCACACCACACACGACACACCACACCACGCCATACCACAGGTACGAGGGTGAGGGTAGGATGTCAACCCAAGCGTACCTTTACCGACGGGGGCATACAGAGATATATTTTGTGTGACAGATATGGCAAATGGACAAACCTTGACCTTTTCTGCATAGGTTGCCCAGTTGACTTGTTTTATCTAACCAATCACATTCAATCCCTTCTTCCTATACAATTACTCACATTCAGTCACTCTAACAACATTATCTTACATCCAATCGCGTTCAACCGCTCCAGCTTTTCAGCCAATCAAATTCGACCATTTTTCACATCATCCAATCAGAATACGGACGCTGCAATTTACCCAAACAACTGAATAACACCATAATCGACCAATATACTGATCGCCAACACATGGTTGATGTTCTCGTGTTAAACTGCTCTCCGGGGTTTCGATTCCGATTCGTCAGCTCCATCCGGACATTCTTCTGTGTCAATAAAACCTACAACTTCGACCCATTTCCTCATTGTTATCGTAAGTCACGTGATGACGGTGATGGTGGTGGTGGTGGTGATGATGGTGGTGGTGATGATGGTGATTGTGGTGGTGATGATGGTGATTGTGGTGGTGATGATGGTGATTGTGGTAGTGGTGATTCGGATGATGGCACATGCGGAAATAGCATGAAAGAGATGACGATGACGATGCATACGTTGATGTTGATGACGACGATGTTGATGGCGAAGATGAAAACGATAATGACGTAATGATGACGTGGACAATGACATGAACACTCGTCATCATCCATCATGCAGCCAGCGACTGCTTCATCAGTGTGACGTCGAACGAGCCTGTGACCGCCATTAGCAGCCGGGACAGCAACCGCAACAAATGCACCTTGGACGATCTCTGCAGGCTAAATATTAACTCCTTCATTTGTCAGCGTGAGTAGATTGGTGATGACGATGGTGGTGGGTGAGTGGGTGAGGCTGCTGATGATGGTAGTAGCGATAACAGTGACGATGATGATGACGTTAAATTTGCTGGTAAAAATAATGTTTATAATAAAAATGCTGACGATGATTTGAGAATTAATTGTAAAAATATTTCTTTTACAGCGCGAGGTTAGTATGAATGGGACTTGTATGGGAGAGTATTGATAATAATTTTTTAATAATTTGTAATAGATAATCCTTTTGGTTCTATTTTAATCTATTTGTTTTTTTATTCTCTTTCTAACCGAGCTTTTAACCATTATATTCACTATTGTCAACATTCGTTTTGATTCACAGTGAACGGCGTTTTTCACTTTTCAAATGTCTACACCATCCGAATTTGTAACTGTTAAAATATTTTAATTTTTGTCAATTTATTAGGCCGCGATTGTGTAGCGAATAAGATGAGAAGATGTTTGTTATGGTTGATGTAATGGGTGAAAATAAATTAACTAAAAATAAATTAACTGAAAATAAATTAACTGAAAATAAATTAACTGAAAATAAATTAACTGAAAATAAATTAGCTGAAAATAAAATTTTTTCGTCCACAAACTAACCATGAAGATGTTATTTGCCCTGGAATACCGACGGTAGCTAACGCAAAAGTCGAACTCGACACAACCCTTCTTTCAATTAAGATCGAATGCAACAGAGGCTTCCAATTCCCTGACAGGTCACTCATACAAACTATGAACTGTTCCAACATCCAGCCTATTGACAACTGCACCAGTGAGAAAGACACGTTCTCTTCACACCTCAATCAATCAATCAATTAATCTTTTAATCGGTCAATCAATCAATCAACCAATCAATCAATCAGTCTATCTATCAACAATATTTATCAAACAATCAATTCACTTGTCAATAAAGAAAAATTTCAACAGACCAATTTATCTAACCAAAACAAAAAATAACTCTCCATTTTGATTAAAATTTTCAAAAAATTAATAAAAATCTCAAAATTAATACTTTCCCAAACAACTACCCCACCCTGCCCCATTCCAAAGTTCTGACCTGCCCACCAATCGAGCTAAAGAAGCTGACGGTCAGTACGGCCGACACCACTTACGGCACGGCGGTGGTGGTCACCTGTTTGAAAGGGTATGCATACGCCGAGCGAACCCAGTTCGTCACCTTCTGCAACAATGAAGGGTCCTGGAATGAGTCTTTCTCTTCTGGCTGTGATGGTCTGTCCAATTCGCAGTTTTGGTTTTTTATTCTATTTTTCCACCTCTTAAATAATTCATTTTGTTGGGATTTGTTTTTTAATTAATTTAAAATTAATTTTGATTAATTATAAATGAGTGAAGTTGTTTGTTTGATTTGTTTGTTTCGAGTTATTTTATGATCGCTGACGTGAATTAGTTTTGAGGAGCTCTTCAATGATATCGCAATTCGTGCCAGCTTAAGCGTTCTCATGAAACTTATTAGATTTCAGCAACTTAACTAAATTATTATTTTTTTCAGCCATTTCAAAAATCAATCAGTCATCTCATTATATCAATTCATTTGAGCAACTATTTTCATCAATCAACCAACATACAAACCAACCAGCAATCAAACCATTCAACAATCAACAATCACACCATTAAAACAACCAACAATCAAACCATTCAACTAACAATCAGACCATTCAAACAACAATCAAACCATTCAAACAACAATCAGACCATTCAAACAACAATCAAACCATTCAACCAACAATCAAACCAACCAACAATCTATCAGAGGTACTATGCGGTGCGCCAACAGCTGTGCAGAATGCTGAATTCGTTGAACCCGTCTCAGCTGCCATATATCATCTGCACGATACTTTCCATCTTACATGCAATAAAGATCCCCAAAGGCTATTACTCTTCCATTTCTAAATTCTTAATTTAACTCAATCAATTTCCTTTTAATATTGTCGTTTTATTGTTGTTTTTGTTGTTATAAGAATTGTTTTAATGTTGGAAGTTTATATTTGCAGGGTGTTGAGATTTGAAACTGGCTACACGACATCTGAGATAACGTGCAGCCCAAACAACGCTTGGAAGCCATCACCGAAGGAAATCACGTGCTCAGGTTTCTTTCCAGTTATTCTTTTGGGGGTATTTTTGAATGCGTTTGTTCTCTGTAAATCAAATTTGACGCCATAACTCAAAAATGTTGTTCTTGAAATCTAAATCAAAAGTTTAATTGTAAACGTGTTTGTCGGACACCTGAGAAGTTTTCTGTTCTTAATTTCAAGGTTCTAACAAACGATGAGTTTCATAGTTTGTCAGTAGACCACAGATAGGACTCAAATTGTGCCTTACACAATAACAAACATGTACATGAAATTTCAATTTTTCATTTCTTGTACATTACACACATACATGTACCTACATGAAATTTTATATATTTCGCGGTTAGACGACAGATGTACTCCAGTTCTCAATGTGACCAATGCCGTTCCTTCGTCATATCTAGCAACAAAAGATACCAAAGTTCATTATCAATGCATAACTGGATACAAGTTGGCGAATCCGTCCTTCGACTTCTACAAGTGCGATGGCTCCAATTGGCTGACCGAAAACCCCGTGAAGTGTGAAAGTTTGTATTTATCAATAGGTGATTGGCTAGCAAATGATTGGTAACTGGGTGATTGGCTGGTTGGTTTATTTCTTGATTGATGATTGGTCAATGGACCAAACATCGTTATCATTATCATTTTTGTCATCATCATCATCATCATTCTTGTCATTATCATCATCATTCTTGTCATCATCATTCTTGTCATCATCATCATTCTCATCATCATCATCTTCATCATTCTTGTCATCATCATCATCATCATCATCATTCTTGTCATCATCATCATAATCATCATTTTTGTCATCATCATCATCATCATTATCATCATCCCAGTTGTGGACTGCGGTCGTATGGCCACGATAAATGCCCTGCCCTCCTTGTCCAACAGTACCTTCAACTCCTCCGTCGTCGTCAACTGCAACTTTGGCTATCGATACGCCGACGATGATAAAAACAACAAGAAGGAGGTTACCAACGTCTGCAATAGTGATGGCAACTGGCAAATACCGACTGTCACTTGCAATCGTTAGTATCGGTTTTTTCAGTTTTTTCTTGTCGGTTTCGTTATCGATTTGAATAATATTTTTTACTTTATTTATTCTATATAAATGTTTTTGTTGTTGTTTATTCAGTTAAAACATCTCAAAAACATAAAATGATTCGTTATAATGATATAAAATTATTGTTCATTTATAAAAAAAAAATAAAGAAAGAGAGAAAGAGAGAGAGAGAGAAAGAAAAGTGAGAAAGAGAGAAAAAAGTAAGAGAGGGAAAAAAAAGAGAGAAAGAGAGAGAGAGAGAGAGATGGAAAAATGGAAATGACATTAATTTTTTTAATTATTCAACACAAAGCGGTCAAATGTGACAAACCCGCAATCTCCAAGGAAAACGTAAAAATTGATGCAACCCCAAATGAATTGACCTTCTCAATTGAGGTCAAACTCCTTTGCTCGGAAGGTAATGACACTGACCTAATGTAACGACCGTAATTTTAATGTAACGACTTGTACTGTAATGTAATGTAATGCTACACGTGACGATGATATAGCAGAGAATGATGGTGGTGCATGTGTATTAATGTGATGTATTGTAATGTGCTGTAATCGTTGATGTCATTTGAAGCGTCTAATACAAAATGACATTAAACGTTTAAAAATTGTTGTTGCATCGGTCTTACGACTTGCTATAAAAAAACATTTTTTCATTTGTAATAAAATGTTGTCTTTGTCATTCTCAATGTTAACGAAAATGTTAATGCGTTTTTGTTAATGTCACCGTGAATGTTACATCAATAAAGGATACTGGTTCTCGTTTGGCCAAACTGAAAAAAAAATCATTTGTTCGGATTCTACAAAATGGGAGCCTGATCCGAATAAGTTGACCTGCACGCGTTGGTTCATTTTCAATAATTTTTCTCATTTTTTTCTGTTATTTGTATATTTATTTACAGTACGGCAACTTCGATATCCTATTGATACAATCTTATTTAGTATCTTCCAGGCAAAGCTGTGTGCGTGCGCGTGCGTGTGTACGTGCGTGTGTGACAGTGTGTGTGTGTACGTGCGTGTGTGACAGTGAGTGTGAAAGTGTGTGTGCGTGCGTGTGTGTGTACGTGCGTGTGTGAGAATGTGTGTGTGTGTACGTGCGTGTGTGAGAATGTGTGTGTGTGTGCATGCGTGTGTGTGACAGCAAGAAGAGGAAAAGAAACCCTATTAGTAGCTTGAGAACATCTTAATCCGACATTTTTTAAAAATTCATAACCTTTAAAATAAAATCGATTGACAAAAAAAAACACGCGCTCAGCTGTCGTCTGCCCAGTGGTCAGCGTTTACTACCAGAACACGACCAATGTGACCTACCTGACGTACATGTCTTACAAGTGCTTTGGGAAGGAAAATGAAACGGCTTCGAGTACCGTATGCAGTGTCAAGGGCCTCTGGGAGCCTGACGTAAAATGCGGTTGGTTTTTGGTTTCGTGTGTGTGTGTGTGTGTGTGTGTGTGTGTGTGTGTGTGTGTGTGTGTGTGTGTGTTTGTACGTAGTTGGCGATTAATATTTCCAGATTTATTAATTGGATCATTGATGGATTCTAGCCGATAAATTCACTTTTGATTCTATATCTCCAATCACACATTAACCCACAATGGCTGACTTTAACAAACAAACAAACAAGGAAATCAACCAAACTAAACCAATCAAACAAACTAACCAGCCAACAAGCAAACAATAAAACAAACCAACAATCGAAAAAACACACAAACTAACAAACAATTTAATCCTCCAAACTGCTAGATAACTTGGCGCGAAAAGAGCAGACGGCCGCGAACGAAGCTCGCAGCTCAAACATCATCGCCATTGTCAGCTTCTCCATCATAGGCCTCGTTCTATTCTTCCTCTTCGTCCTTGACATACCGACCTATGCAAAGTCTCTCATCTTCTGCTGGCACAAAATACAAAGAAAGCGCGCCAAAAAATGTAGCAATGGCGGTAAAAATGACGCCAAGCCTGCCGGTGACGACCCGAATAAAAGATACTAAATATTTAAGATTTTAAATTTTTTAGATTTCAAATTTTTCCAATGTGATATTAAAAAAATGCGCTTATATAAAATCGTTTTCTTGAATTTGATAGAACAATATCTGTACAGGGATTTGTTTATCTATTTAACGTTTAATAATAGCAATATTTAATAATAGCAATTTTAATATGATGAAAGTGTTATATATTATATTATAGATCGTTATCTATTTTAGATCGTGAATAAATTAAAATCTAGGATTTTATAACGGTACATGCATGTACAGTAGGTATTTGTAGTTTAGGGAGATATATATGTGTGTATAAATTTCAATTTTTCCAATAGATTTTCTATAAAATTGTATATATCTTCATTTAAGTTGATAAAAACTGAGTACGTGAGTGTGCGCACACTTATTAAATGTATCAATGTATATATATTTTCTTATCATATTTTCAATATTAATATAAATGTGATCGTATTAGATATGTATTAACATGAAATCCGCAAAGATATTTCACTCATTTGTTGTTATAACACGTAGGGGAGTGAACTGACCTAACTAATAATATATTCCAGAAGTTTATTATAAATTTTATTCAAATTTTTATCAAATAAAACCAGATTTTATTTAAAAAAAATTGGACATTTTATTTATTTATTCACTTATATATTTATTTATTTATTCATTTATTTATTTGTTTATTTATCTATCTATTTATTTACCATTCAAACGTAGCATGTAATCAGGAAGAATAAATTCAACAATGTGGCATGGTAAAGAGGAAATTTAAACGTTAAGTAAAAATTTTTTTCTCTAAAAGTTAAAATCTTAATCCTGTGACGCCAACATTGGTTAGAATTTATAGGGGGAGGTGTAAATGATTGAAGAGGGAGGTCAGAGGTTAAAATTTTTCAAGGGCGTGCCGCGTCTATCATACGTAGATAATATTTGAAGGGGAATTCTTAAGGGGTTGGGTTACAGTTTGTGATCATTCACATTTGCATTGATCGTCCACTCTTATCGGTCTTAATGGCAACATGATTTTACAAATAAATAAACACACACATAAACACACACACACATACACACTCATACACATACATACATACACACTACACTCACACACACATACATACACACTCACACACACATACATTTGCTTATGGATGTTTCAACAAACATTTTTTCATAAATGTACATAATTTTCTTGAGAATGTCAGGTAAGCACGTAAGTAAGAAAGGTGTTTTAAAATATTATTCGTCAAATAAAATAAAGTTCTCATAAGTATCAGCTTTAAAAATGGCATAAGAAAGCTAAAAAATTAAAATACAAAAATAATGTTCAAGTCTTCAATTGTTTTAACGCTAAAAATATAAATTTACACAAACACATAGGCACAAATATTTATACAAACCCATGCATACTCTCACACTCACACACGCGCAAACACACAAATAAACCCACAGAATAATTAATATACATACACAACATATTAAAAATAATAATGAAATAATTTATAAAATATTATGCGACGTTCAATGCAGATTTTAGGTAATAGTTGGTCGTATTTTCTTGACCGCCCTGTCGTCTCATCCTCCTCTCTTGACCCTTGTCAATCAACTGACCCATAGACTTGAAAGTCACCGATATCTATGTAGTTGGGCGATATTGAGGAATATAACGGCAATTATTATTATTATTTATGATCAAAGTTATAACAACGACAACAGTATTATTATTATTATTATTATAGTATAATTATTTTTATAATTATAACAACAGTTTATAGCAGTAACATTCACTAGAAAATGTATGACGAACTACGTAGCCAATGAAGATCAGGGGCGGATCTGAAGGGGTATATAGGGGTGAACATTTCTCCCCTAGCTAGAAAATTATCAACTAGCATGGATAACAACGATTGTCAACAGTTTTAGATGTAAAATGAATAGTGACGACATTTTGCTGGCTGAACACTTGCAATGACACTTTTCAAAATTAATTTCTCTCTCTCCTGGTGAATTAAACTTCAAACAAGCTAACTCCCTTTTTCTAAAATTGTTTAACCCTTCTAAAAAAATTGTTTAACCCAATTCTTTTTTTAAATTGCTTACCCCCAGGCCCTTCCTAAATTTTTAAGACCCGCCGCTAAGCAATCGCACTACGCCACCTGTTTGAAGGTTGGCCTCTGTCCAGGATCATCCCGCCAACAGGCTTCCATGACGCCTCTGTAATGGCTGCTTGGATATGTGGGAGCTGGCTGTGCCACAGGGGACGTTGTTGTCGGTGTAGCTGCATCCATCGCGAAATAAGTTCGGTAACCTTCGAGTACTAATTTAATGACCTAGGCGAATGTGATTAGAATTTGGTTAGTGGATCATAATTGAAGAATGTTGAATTCACGTGAAGCAAAGCTACAGACAATGCCATTCTGAGTAATCAAATAATCTTCAAATTTTGACTAAAAAAACTATTTTCAATAGTATTATAAATGAATATTATAATTGAAATAATTATAACATAACTCCCCACCCTCACCCCCCCTGCCTACCAACTGACCTTACTTTCATCAGCAACCGGGCTGAACGGATCTTCGTGAATCATCAGCTCCCACATCAGCATCCCGAACGAGTAGACATCACAGGCAGGAGTGAAAATTGGCGTTACATCATTCAAGGACCGAATACTCAAATGGAAATCCGTGGGTGTCTGTTGTTGATTAGTGGCTGTAGCTGTGGCAGGAGCGGTTTCGGCTTTGGCCGTGGCTGTGGCTACAGTGGTCGCGACAGCAGCGGTGGAATGAAGAGAAGAAGTACTCGGGGTTAGATCTGAAAAAATTGGGAAGGAAGACTCGGTAGACATTGGGTTCTGCAGTATTTCAGGAGCCGTCCAGCGTATGCTGGAAGGGAAGGCGCTTGTGGATTTATCACCTGGAATGCAATTTTCACAGATTTCAAAAATTATTACTGAATAAATAACTATAATAATTAAAATATAATAAAATAAATAAAAACACAAACGAAAATATAAAAATTAAAATATAATAAATAAAAACACGAACGAAAATATAATAATTAAAATTTAATATAATAACAAAACACAAACGAAAATTTCAGCTAAAATGCACCAACAGAAACAATTTTTCCCCCCTTCACACTGGTTTCTCAGCTCTTGGAACAGTCTTGTGAGACCGAAATCTCCTAACTAAACAAACATCATTTCATCTCATTAATATAATCATGTCGATGGCAGCAATGACATCAACTTTTTTACATTAACATATACATATATAACAATTAAAATAATTATTATAAATTAATAAAAATAATTTGTAAAGCCCACTTTAACTTTCCACGAGCCAGTGATGAAGACATTGGCACTTCGAAGATCTCTGTGAAGTATGGGAGGACTCGAGGAATGTAGGTATAACATGGCGTCTGCTACCTCCCGACCCTTTCATCACAATAATAACAATTATAGTTATGTAGTTTTTTGTTTAGCGTCATAAACATCTTGAATCAACTGGCCAGAGAATATAATTAAGTAAAGAGTATAATATAAACGAATGTGTGGAAGTAATGCATTATTCATGTGTGTATGGTGTCTTCATATATATATGTATAGAATATATTATAACATATGTATATTCTCTATATACATGGGTGTCTTATATTGTAATCAACTATGGTGATATATACATTTTAAAACTTTATGGAATTTCTTGAGTAAACATTTTGAAGAAACTTTTTGGGGAAAATGTTGTCATCAGACCAACAAACAAACCAACAATTTTCATTTTTCGTTTCCAATCCAGTACGAGCTGACCACCACCACCATCATCATCATCATCGCCGGCACCGACCGCCATCTTGCTTTTCAGCAGAAGAGTCTTGAGGCAGACGCCCTCGATGAATTCGTTGATGATGTAGGGCTGCCTCGTCTCCACGCACACGCCCATCACTGGTACCAAATTTGGATGACGTAACTTCCTGTTCGTCGATTAGGTAAACGAAAAACTAACAAAAAACCTCTTCATGAACCATAAAATTGTAGAATTATAATCGGCCATTCAAATGGGCTATCGAATAACAATATTACTGCTACAACTAATGATAATAATAACTTCTCACGTTAGCAAGGAAACAGATTGCACGATGAATTTGCACTTGGCGTCGTTGCTGCTTGACTGCTGGCTACCATGCAGTCCCACCACAATTCTCTTGGCCACCACTTTCTTCTTGTGCCATAGGGCTAAGTAGGAATCGCCAAAGATGCCACCACCTAGTCTTTTTGGTGGTAGGTGCGTTTATGGGTTTTAGATTTTATTAAATAGAATTTTTAAACTTTAAACGCTTTTCGGCGATTTAATATTTTACTCACAAAAATTTTTTTTTTCATTCCATGAAATTAAAATTAAAAAACTCACACAACACCAAAAAAAATAGCAACAACATAACTTGGACAACAAACACATTCCAAACAACAACAACTCACCTCTGCCTGATCTCCAGATGGTGTTCTCCAATAAGATGGCACTCAGCTTCTTCCGGTTTGTTCAGTAGTTCCGTTTCCAGTTGATCCCTGGCAGTGGAGTAGTCCCGATAATCGGAGGACGTCCCTACGTTGTTGGATGCCGGGTTGAGAAGCATGGCAGGGGAGGGTGTTGAGATGAAGTAGGTCTGATCGTCGTCAAGGTCGTACTTCGCAGATGCCAGCTGCTTGTTTGTGGCCTTTGTGGTAGCAGTGGCGGGACTGAACTTGTAGATGGTGTTCAAACTGGAGTGCAGAGCTGATTTTGGTTGTGTTGTGCGTGGTTGTCAATCAATTTTTAACAATCGTTCAGGCTAAAACAAATAGAATCCACCAACAGTAGTGGTTGGACCAGGGTTTGGGTAGATAGTTGTAGGGACCGTCGACGGCAGAGAGGGCAGAACCGGTGCGTCTGCAGCAGAAGGCAGCTATGCAGACGGCCCCCACTACGATCAGTCCATTCACCACTATCACCACCCATATGTAATGCTTTTGAGATTCTGTTTGTGTATGTTTGTTTGTTTGTTCGGTCGGTCGGTCGGTTTGTATGTTTGCGCGTTTTTTGTAGGTTTGTGTT